ACAAAAATATTACAAAAAAGTATACGTTTTACTGCGTCGTTTTTAACATAAAAAACACAACAAATAAAAACACACAAAAAAATTGTATCTATCATCTTCGAGTATAGTCGACCACAACAATTGCTCGAAAAGTTCTAGCACCAAAATTCTAAAAAGTTTGCATACCTCAGTGTTAATGTATTAACGGTGTTACTCTTACAAATAATCAATGCCCTCGTATTATGCGAAATTCGCTCTCTCGTTTCTTACAATCGGGCATCGATGGGCCAGGTGAACGAACTAAATATAGCTCCCTCTCGGAAGCATGGCGTTCTTCGCTTAAGGTTGAAGAAAAAGGACGCGCATGTTCTGCACATACACAACATTACTCTTAAGAGAAGAGACGATCTCACACATCGAGATACGTGTACACGACATGTGCACGTGCGGCGCATCATCTCGGCGATATCTAGTCACGACAAAGTGTGGGGAGTGCTTCGTATCATCGACATACTTCCGATTGTCCCTTGACGAGAGGCAGGATGGAACAGGCGTCGACACGTGTTCTGAGTGCTCGGGTCCTTCCGAAAACTTTCTATGAATCAGCCGTTTCACGAGATGTACACGATTAATTGAGCTTTATTAGAGAGGTTTGTTGGAAATTTGCTTGAGAAATCGATCTTTTCTCGCTACAATTCATTTAGCGTTCCTTGCCCACTCAGTGGACGAAAAATCAACACTTTTACCTCGATTAATTTTGCTATGCAGCCCATATCCAATAGGACAATTTATCTTTTATTAATTTTCGGAAAGAGCATTTTCTGATCCTTCATATTATTCTAAGAAATGTGTTGCGAAACTCATTGAGATAAAACCTAATCTAGAAAAAATTATACATAATTTTATAAAATCGTATATATAATTATATATAAATTATGTACTATCATATATGATCTATATATGAGTTTTGTCTTAATACAGTCATGTGCATATAATTATATTATGTTTAAAAAACCTACTCAAATAAATTAAGAAAAAAGACATTATTTTGTATTATACATCTACATCACGGTCTGCTACAAACACAAGCAATTACTTTAATTGTATTTGTGCAACAACATTTTTTCAGTGTAAATATATATAATTATATAAAAATAATTATTTTGTTGTCGAGAATTTGTTGCTGTCCCTTCTTCGTTTTTCAGTAATTCTTATAAAGATACATTTTTCTATCCTATATATTATCTTACGAGATACGTTGCGATATTAATCGAGATAAAACCTCGATAAAACTTAATTGTTACGACCTTTTATTTACTGACCGTCCCTTCTTCGTTTATTCTCGTCAAATTTGCCGCGCCCACATTCATCGTATATTTGCGAGAGGTAGGTAGCTGAGAGAAAAATAAATGCGCGTGTCAAGAATACGCTTGGCTACGGTACACACACAGCATGGGAGCAAACTTTCTATTACTTTGCATTACTAAATATGATACGCGGACACGCGTGCCACTTGACATCTACTAATAAATAATAAAAGATGTAGATTATTTTTGCTGTTGCAAGTTTGCTTTGAACTTTTTGAATGTAATCTATTTGATGACATTGACTGTGTTGAGCGAAGCTGCTACTTTACAACTGTTATAAAATTCATAAATTTGATGTATATGCTTTTATATTTAACTAAGATGAAATGCATGGACTAAATTCAGATTCATGAATGCGATAACAGTCGCAGAACAACATTCTCTGCCGAACGCAGCTAAAGAGTTTTCCATTTAGAAACACAAACTAACACGAGTATTATTTTGTTTTTGTTTCGTATTCAATAAGTGACAAAGATAAGATGATGCTTGTGTCAACTTATGTCACTGAATGAAAAGTACTCATTTGAAGCATCTATCGCTTCGTATAACATCATGAATACATCATAGATATTCGCTTCTAGTTTGCTATTACCGAAGAGATAACGTGTCTAAAACACAATATTTCTATTTGGATGCGCGGGAAAATTATTATGTAATAATATTATGTAATAAGCAATTTCGTATTTTTAGATAAAATAAAACGACTTTATATTTGCATGTCGTTATATTTATAAAACAATATTTGTGAAAGATATTAAAACATCATACATTAAAATGTTTCATATATTCTTTCATAAAATTATTATATTACATTACATTAATTACATAAAAATACGAGTTTCATTTTACTTGAAGAATCCGAAATTACTTATTAAAAATAATTACTAGTATATATATAGTTTTATAGGAAAAAAATTAAAATTAAAAATTCCAAGGTATAGATCTTTTGATGTTGTAAATATTAGGATAACAAATACTATTATTAACTATACTTACGAAAAAAAAGTAATATTTTCTAGCGGTATTCTCTTTGTCAATAATCAATAATGTCAGTAATTTGAAGTACATAAATTAAAAGTGCATAAATTACAAAATAAGAAATTATAAAATTTCTTATCAAATCTCTTTTTTCCTCTCTTTCTCTCTCTCTCTCTCTCTCTCTCTCTCTCTCTCTCTCTCTCTCTCTCTCTCTCTCTCTCTCCCTTTTTCTCCCTCCTTCTCCCCTTTTTTCTCTCTTTGTCTCTATATGTATATTATATTCCGTTAAATATTTTTCCTTCGAAGTTTCGAATACTTTCAAATATTCGAGTATTTGAATGTTTGAATGTTCACATTTCAAAATTTCATTATTTGAATATAATATCTGAAAACTTCCAATAGCTCCTAGAATAATATTTAAATAGTTCTTCACACACAAACAAAATAGTATATTATAAAATGTTATATTTGTAATGAAAACATTATTGCCGAATAGTTTTTTAAATGACATTACTATTTACTAGAATATATATTGGAATATACGAGATGAATCTGATAAAAAGTTCACCATGTTTTTTTCACAAACGGTTAGAGATAGAGGAAGACATCCATTATCGAAATTGTAGACTGAAAAAGAGTACACGCTTTAATGATCCTGAGGAACCTTGAGTGTTGGTTTTTTATACCAAAAAAGACAAAAAAATTTTTTTTCTTTCTTTAAAGGAGTATATTTTAGTTATTATCCGTAAATAGTACTCAATAAGTTAATAACAACATTGTTGAGATATATTAACAAAATTATAAGTATTAAACATTTGTTCTCAATAAATTAATACTCACACTTTGTCCTTGTCTTCATACCAATTGATGCATTAAGAAAATTATAAGTAAAAAAATTTGGAATCCATCTTTTTATTGTTGTAGTAAGTGTTTAAAATTTTCACCATATTCAACCAGATATGCCTGCAATCTTCGCGGGAAGCTTACTTGTATTTCTTCTAACTTCTGTATGGTTTCTTTAGCAAAAAATATTTTTTTCCAGACAATATAATAAAAAGAATAAAAATTATTTTTCGCGAAGTAACTACACAAGAGTTAAAAAAAGTACAAGCAAATTTACCTTTTTAATTACAAAAATTTTTGCTTTTTTCTTGGTGTAGAAAATTCACAATCATGGTCACTCAGTCATCAAAGTATGCATCATGTGTTCTATAACTTTGATAATAGATGTTTTCCTCTTTCTCTATTTATAAGAAAAACGTGGTAATAGTATATTTTTATTATTAAGTATAAGTAGTGTCAATTGTAAAACGATTGCTGCACTTATTATGGCAATATTAGTTGCTTCTACCACAAATATAATATTTTTTCAGGTACTATATTGTTATTGTCGTTGCTACTGCTGTTTTTATTATTACTGATATTGATGTAGCTACAAGTAACAGCAATGTTGTTGTTGCCATTATGTCATCGTTATTATTGTTGTTGTTAATGATAATACATTTTTTATGCGTATTATAGAAGCTTAGTACGCCGCGGCTCAGACGTATCATTATCAAAAATCCAAATTAATTAATCAAAAAGCTACTATTTGACATGCGTATCAAACGTTCCGTATAATCAAGGAACGATGAAATTATTGGAAGCGAGAGCGTTAAGAATGTTTGGAAACTTCAAATAGACCGCATCAAAAAAAGAAAAAAAGAGGAGAGGAACCACGTCGAGCGTAGATGAAACGATTGCCCGCGGTGTGTTTCGTCGGCAAACGGTATATACATATACGGTATATACATATCGATGGCAAGTACATCGAACCGCGATTAAAACTCTGGAGAACACGGCGCGACGAGTCGGCGACCGCCGTATCTGCGGAAGACGCGCATTAAGAAGCCGCGGCGCGTAATATAAAGTGATAAAAGTAACGTCGAAGCCGCGCACACAGGCATATACTAGTACACACTTTCTCTCTTTCTCTCACCCTATGACTTACGTAAAATTAATAACAACTTCGTCCCGTCTCATCTCGTCGCGTGGCGCTGCGGCGCACAGGCCGGCGACTAATATACGACGCAATTAACACTGTCAGCAATTAATACGACGCAATTAATGTTGTCGGCAATTAATCCCACGATATGCTTTCGCTAGCTATGTAATTCGTGCGTTCTTTTCAGAGATCGGAACATTACATGAAAGAAAAATAACGATGAACCAGCGATCTCTTATCTTTCATGCTTGTGGACGTACGAGTGCATTTAGTTGTTGGAGAGACATGTGTATCTTCAATTAAATTACCTTCGTTTTGCTCTTTCTTTTTTCTTTACGATGTCCTCATTTAACGCGCTTTTATTTAACATATTTACAGCGACAATCACTCAGCGAGAGATCATTTGGAAACATATCGGATACATTTTTCTTTCTTCAGAAACATGTGAGTTAATAATACGCGGGAGAAAACTGGTGGGCGTATCCCAAAAATAGAATTATTACACCTCTTTGATGACGATCACGTATGTTTTTTTTTTTTTCATAATTCACCATGAGGGCCTACGTAATTATTCTAATAATAGTTAATGACGCGCGCGTTGTCGTCACACAATGTTGTTTATTACATGCGCACCCTTTGAGAAGCGTGCGCGACAGATCGCCATGAATAATGTATCCATTAAATACCATCAGACACACGACGAGGGTTCATAATCGATGGAACGACCTGGCGAGGTAGCAGTGGCGATTAAGACATGGAGAACAACAGTCCGCCGCCGTTGGCGTCCACCAAGAAGAGAATCAGTCCTCCGATTAGCTGGGGCCTAGGTCTTGCTAACAGGGATACTTTTAAGACGGTTAAAGTGATCCTGATGGGCCAGTCGGGCGTTGGCAAGTCGGGTGAGTAGTCGGTGTTTTTCTCTCTATTCCTCCTTTTTTTCTTGATGAGCGACACGTAGGCAATAATTACAAGATGTTCGAAATAAACCATTCGATTTCTGAACTTTTTCGATTGTTTGAGAAAGAATTGAAACAAGTAGAAGCACTCGCGTACTTCTTGGTATCAAATAATTTTTTTAACAAACAATTACAAAAAATGTGCGTAACATAAGTTTTTATAAGTAAAATTTATAAAACTTACCTTTGTAAATTTACCTTTTTAAACAAAAAGGTAAAAAAAGGCGTCAAGTACACGCGCAACACGTATTGTGTTATATATGTATATAACGTAAGTTTTTACAAGTAAAACTTATATCGTGTTACAAAAATTTAACATTTCAAATTCAAATTATTTTTTTTTAAGTTATATATGTACATAACATAAGTTTTTATAAATAAAACTTATTAAATTATTTTTTTTTATATGTATGTATATAACGCAATAAATTTTTACAAGTAAAACTTATCAAATTATTTTTTTTAAGATATATATGTATATAAGTTTTACAAGTAAGATTTATATTACAATACATTTACAAAAATTTAACACGTTTATTAATAGTGTCCAATATTTAAAAAAGATATCTTTTTAAAGGTTTTATTACTATTCAATCCTATGAATCAAATTCTACAAAACTGTCTTACAAAAAAAATGATATAACAAAACAGTAGCACCAACTGAAAAATTCTACTCAACCTCAACTCTGCAAATGAGAGCGATTGCAATCTGAAAATAAATATATCCAAAACTCCCAATGATACATAGCCCGGTACTTCGGAAACAGTGTCTTCATTATTTATTAGAACTCTGAGTTATATGGTTATTTTACTTGTTATTATAACAAATTAGTTATTATAACAATGCCATAAAAAATATTTAATACAAAAAATCTTGGCACGGCTGCACCAAAAGGTAACGATAAATTTGCGATGCGCGCGAGCTATTAATATATTTTATTTCATATATTTTACACTCATATGGAACTTCAAGTTCAAATAAAACTATTCAATAGCTCGCTATAAGTGTAATATATGTCGATACATTCAAGTTAATTTCAGCAAAATATATTATATTATTAATATTTTATACATTCGAATATTATTTTAACATACCTATTCTAAGAATATTTTACATTAGTATTTCCAAAGAAATGATTTATATTTTACTATTGAATATGAGTCTGAGTATTGAGTATGAATATGAGTTTTAAACATTTTAATATTAGAGGAATGTTTCATCGATGACCGAGTAGGGTGTCCCAAAAGTAACGGACCACTCTAATAACTCTTCAGTATTGAAGTTTCAAGGAAAATGATTTTAATAAAAGTTGTAGGGATTTAAGTGAGCTATCTTATGATGACCTTAACTTTGACCTTGACCTCTATTTTCAAGGTCATTTGAAGGTCAGCCTGTTTTTTAAATGGGAACTCTTATTTTTTATTACACTGTTTTTTATTACTAGTTAATTTGAACTACTTTTGCCTAAAACATTTTTTTATTTGTCTAATATTTTTTGAGATATTTGAGGAAAACTTGATAACTTTTTCAATATTTAACTTGCGATATCTCGCTAACTATTTGTCGGAAGAAAAAGTAGTACTAGACTTTCTTGCTTTATTTAGTCTCAAGAATGTATTGTTACAATAACGCTCTGACATTTGTTAACTTATTGACTTTTGGAAATTTCAAAATCATCAAATTAACCAAAATCAGGGCGCTATTGTAACAATATATTCTTGAGACTAAATAAAGCAAGAAAGTCTAGTGCCACTTTTTCTTCCGACAAATAGTTAGCGAGATATCGTTATTAAATAAATTAAATATTGGAATATTGGAAATCGTTATTAAATAAATTAAATAAATTAAATATTGGAAAAGTTATCAAATGTTCCTCAAATATCTGAAAAAATATTAGACAAAAAAATGGTTTAGACAAAAGTTGTTCAAATTAACTAGTAGAAAGAAACAGTATAATAAAAAATAAGGGTTCCCATTAAAAAAAACGCAAGTAAACCTTCAAATAACCTTGAAAATAGAGGTCGAGGTCAAACTCAAGGTCATCATAAGGTAGCTCACTTAAATTCCTACAACTTTTATTCAAATCATTTGCCTTGAAACTTCAATACTGAAGAGCTATTAGGGTGGTCCGTTACTTTTGGGACATCCTGTATATATATTATCATATTATATTATATCTATTATTATATATTATATTATATTATATATTTAAGAATTTTTGCCTCTTATTAGCTCCTTTCTTCCTTTGAAAAACTCTACAAGCAATTCTTTTTGTTCTTGCGATATACAGGGTACTAAATTTAAAACGTAACAGGTGAAAAATCTCGAAAACTGTGAAAGATATTAAAAAAATCTAAAACACATGTTCCATGATTTCGGAGGGGAAAGAGAATGGCATTATCAGTTTTTTATTTGGAGGGCATTCTCAAGGTCAGTTGAAAGTCAACTTAATGTTTTTAAATAGGAAGCCCAATCTTTTATGATATCTTCTTTTTCTACCAATTAATTTTAATAACTTTTGTCTGAAACATTTTTTTATTTGCTTAATATTTTTTGAAATATTTAAAGAAAACTTGGTAACTTTTTCAACATTTAACTTACGATATCTCGCTAACTATTCGTGGAAAGAAAAAATAGTATTAGACTTTTTTTCTTTATTTACTATCAAGAACATATTACTATAATAGTGCCCTAACTTTTGTTAACTTATCGACCTTTGGAAATTTCAAAATTATTAAATTAATCTCCCTGGACGACAAGTCAATAAGCACCGCTGTTGATTTTTCGATGGTACAGCTCATTACATTACATCGTCTGCTCAGCATAAGCTGACCGGTAATCAAATGACGGGCGTCATAACATACCGTGATGCAATAGTATTCACACATTATGCCTCTCTCCCTCCTCTTCCCTCACTCACTCCCTCCTTCCCTTCCAACACCTCCCCTCTCTCTCTCTCTCTCTCTCTCTTTCTCTCTTCCGTTACCTTCAGAGACAAATCCGTTTGATGATTCCTAAGACATATAAGAAATATAAATAAACATAATCATATACAAATATAACAACATAATATGTAGATATCTCCTTGACATTCTCCGAACAGTCACTAAGTGAACGCGTAAACTGTGGAAGCAGAATTTTATTATTCTCGCTAAGAGGTAACGAATTCCGCACATTATTTCTAAATTAATATTGCAAATAACGCACTTCAGTAAATATCCGTTACATCAAAATATTGGCATGTATTCGACAGAAAAATCTCATCGTCAACGTACGTCTCATCAACAAGAGGACCATAATATCGAGATGTCTGACACACTACCGTTTTTTTCACTATGGGCGAACAATAATTTAGGAGACAAGTCTTACTATGACTTCTTCAATCCAAATATTTGTCATGTGTGTAAGAAAACACCAGAAAAGCTGAAGACAGAATGCAATACGTGTCGTTCTTGCAACATGATTCTTTATTGTAGCAGCGATCATGAATCAATGGATAAAGGGAATCATGTAGATATCTGCGGAATTTTAACAACACTTTCGCAGAGTAACCCGCAATTGTGGCACACTTGCAATATCTCTCAGAAGAATTGGATTGAGTCGAGGAAAGAGCTTTTATATTTAGTTAAAGAAGCGTTACGACGTGATATGAAGCCGTACGAAATAGAAATGATCAAGTTCGTTAAATCGTGCTTTATTTGTCATGTACAATGTAATCTTCAAACTTGTACGGTGTGCTATTGCATGAATTATTGTTCGTATCATGCAAAAGCCTTGGAAAATCATCAGAGTTCTAATTGCACTAAATTGAAGTCGTATCTCGAGATAGATCGTGAAATTTTACTCAAATTTTATCCAATCCATCGAAAAGAATTTATGAATATTAGTGCCGATATAATTAGCACAGTTAATATCGTTGACATACAACAATTCTTGAAAGAATTTGCGTTTTGTGACACTCAGTATTCATTCTATGCCTATTCCGATTACCTATCAGGACCGTTGACACTTTATTATGGAATGAAGAGTAAAAATTTAGATCTAGATATAAAAGGTATGAAGTACGTTGTTCATATAATAGCCGCAACTATTTTAGATGCACGATATGTACTAGCCTGGGAAATAATGTTGCATATTTTATCTAAGACACTAAAGCATTTAAAAATTATATTGGTAGGACCAGAAACGCAAGACGCATACAAAATTGTCGAAATTTGTCACAAATGCATACTATGGGAGAGCACGTTCAAGTTTCAAAGTTATCACTTGCTTCTCAGGAATTATGTTAATACAATACTTACACTTTATCCACCAGATGTAATTATAGCATTTGAAGCAGATATTAGAGCGTGGGATTCACGAACAGAAATAATTTCAAAGTTAAATGGACAATCTTGCCCTTTTATAGTAACCGGCGCGTCGTATTCCAAATGCGAACGAAACATACAGACATTAAGAGAAGCTCTGGGTGCTGGATCATTAGCAGGTCTAACTCCAGACAAAAATAAATTTAGTTCTCTTAAGGCATACAGAAATTTCGAGGGCAATGACATCTTCTATCGCAATAAGTTTTTATTTATTATTAGGAATTTAAGCGATGTATTTTACGTAAATACTGATCCAAATACGTCAGGATCCTCAAACATATAAAACTCCTGCCAAATTGAATTTTTAAAGGAGAATATCATTAATACATTAAATCTAAAAGTATATCATAAAAAATATTTTTGAATAGTTGTACACCTATTGTGATTTCCAAACGCAGTCAATGTAGAAGATTTGTTATTCTATCCTATCAGACACATTCCAGGTAAAAATTGAATTAATTAATTTGTATTCTATAGCACAGTGCAAGCCGTGTAATATTAGCCTGTAACATCATTGTAACAATAATATGAGAGATAATAATATCTGTTAGACAATACATATTTACTTGTACGAATGAATTCTGCATGTTATAAAATAAATAATACATGGAATTAGAATTATATTTTTTCAAGGTAACAATACTTGAATACTCTCCTTAAAAATATGCATTTCAACTCGCTCCATATTAGAAAAACATCGGACAATAAATTCATAAAATGGACGTAGAATTCGAATTTTATTTTTTACTTCTAAACTTAATACAGCTTATAAATAAAAGCTCCGTAAAAATTTATGTACTAATATTTAACAAAAGATAAATATAAGTTTCTTATATCTTCAGAATCAATTTCGTTTGATAATTTCCGGGAAATGGAAGAAATATAAATAAACATATCATAATACACAAATATATGACAATATAATATGTAGATATTTTCTTAGTGTTCTTTGGACAGTCACTAAGTATATTCGTAACTTATGAAAGTAGAAATTTATTATTCCCTTCAAGAAATATCGAGTTTCGCACATTATTTCTAAATTAATATTACAAATAACGCGTTTCTGCAAACACCCATTACATTAAAATATAGGTATATTTTCAATAGAAGAATCTCGTCTCATCAATAGAGAGTCCGTCATATCGGTATATGCAATTTTTTTCACCATCATTTTTTCCACCATGGGAATTGAATAATTTGGGTGCTGTGCTTTATCATAACTTCTTTAATCCAAACATTTGCCATCTTTGCAAGGAAGAACCAAAACAAATACCGTAAAATTACAATACATCGTTCGTGCGACATGATTCTTTACTGTAGGAGAGATCACAAAGCAAAATATAAGGAGAACCATGGAGAAATCTGCAAAATGTTAAAAAAAACTTTCATATCGTCACCCGGTATTTTGGCACATTTATAATTTTAGTCAAGAGGATTGGGTCAAGTCGAGGAAGGAGCTTTTACATTTAGTCAAAACAAAGTTCGAACGTGATATGTAGCCGTACGAAATGCAGATGATCATGTTCGCTAAATCGTGTTTTATTTGTCATGAACAGTGTAATCTTTAAACTTGTACGGAATATTATTGCGTGGATTATTGTTGGAATCATGCAAAAACCTTGGAAAATCGTCATAGTCCCAATTGTGCCAAATTGAAGTTATGTCTCCAGACAGATTATCTTGCAATTGTAAATAGTTAGCGGGCAAATTCCATCGAGATCGTAGAATATTTGATGCGTTAAAACCGTTAGATTATTCGACAACGAAGACAACGAATTAAATGAAGAAAATAAACAGATCGCAGTCGAATGGATCAGGTGACCTAAACTGTTATTCCGATTGAAGCTAATATTTGGAGTCTCTGATCAGCATGTATTGACTAATATATCATCAATAAGCATGCTTAAAATATACTACGGCTCGTTCGTTTTACTCGCCGTCACATCAGCATCGATGTAGAAAATATTTTTGGACTGTTGTATACCTATTGTGATCTCCGAACACAGCCACTGTAGAAAATTTATTACCTTATTTTGCTCGATAAGTTCCAGATAAAAATTTAATTAATTAACTTGCCCTTCCATAGCACTAAAAGTCACTGTATAAAATCGTCATATTATATTAAGCGATTGCATTGGAAGCCACTGTTGTGTTTTGTGTTTTTTGAGTATTTGTTTCAATAACAAAACGTATGAATACATCAATCAAAGTATTTGCCCTTGGAAGCTATGACTTTTTCCCACTTTTTTGGTAGAAGTTGAATTCCGCGATGAAAGAGCGGTCTGTCTTTTGAGCCATTCCATTCAGCAACCCAATTTTCGACTTCTTCGTAATTATGGAAATGTGTATCTTCCAAAGCATGTTGCATCGATCAGAAGTCGCTTGTGTAATCGCTTGGGGCCGGAGAATATGCGGGGTGCGAGAGAACCTCCTATTCAACCTCCATCAGTATTTGTTTCACGGCTATAACAACATGGGGCTAAGTATTGTCATGAAGAAGAATCACTTTTCAGCGATTTGGTGCAATTGGTGGTTGTTTTAGGATCAAATTATTATTCAAACGCTCCAATTGTTGTCGATAACGTTCAGTGGTCACTGTTTCGTTCAGTTTTTCAACAACTCATAATATAAGACACTCTCCATATCTCACCAAATAGAGAGCATTGCTTTGTGAACGTGGATGTTTCGTTTTGGTGTCGACGTTGATTGTTGGCCATCAATTCATGATTTCTTGCGTTTCGGGTTGTCGAAATAAATCTATTTCTTACCGCCGATCACAATACGCCACAAGAAACTTCTTTTTATGCCTTGCAAGCACAGAAATCGAGATGTTTAAACGATTAGCAATTTTCGGTCAATTCATGTGGCAGCCATCTCCTTTCTTTCTGGATCATTCCTATGGCTTGTAAATGTTGTGAAATAATTAACTTATCGATTTTAAACAGTTGAGCCAATTCTTTGTGTGCTTGAGTAGGGTTTATTTCCAATAGAGCTTGTGGTTGTTTATCATTGAACTTTTTCGATTGACCTGGCCGTTGTTTGTGAACGTCACAATCACCACTTTTGAATCGTCGAAACCAATTTCTACATACTGTTTCCGATGAAGCAGATTTACCATAAGTTTTCACAAGCAGCCGGTAAGCTTCAGCTGCACTTTTTCCAAATCAAAGTAATGTAGAAGCACACATCGGAAAAACAATTTATCGCGTTCCATTTTAATAGTAGGTTATAGAAAAGCTTGTGTAAACAAAGGTTGGCGTCTGATGACTAATTTTTTATGTAGGAAATGTTCACACTTCAAAATGACATAAGAAACGTCTGTCACTGTTCATAGCATACGCAGCTAGAGCTTAGATCTACACGAGAATAACGGCTTTTAATATAACCTCCTAATATTTTCAAGTTTTCTATTCCTCTCAATATTTGATAAACAATTTTACTGCCAATGCCTAAAAGAATAATTATATAAAGCGTTTGATCTTCAAATTGATATTATAATACAAAGAAAAAGTACACAATTTTTCTTAAGTTCTTCATTATCGGATGATAATGTTGCAACATTTTGGCTACCACAAGATAATGATTTCATGTCCACAGCTTAAGGAAATGACGGTAAATTCGCTTTTTCACTCTTCTTCTTTTTTCACGAATCTATTCTTCATTATCATCGTTATCGCTGAACTCTGCCTTAATATTGTCTCTCTTCTGTTTCTTCCTCTCATTTGTATTGTGTGGCGAGCCAACATTTTTTTATATTCAGTTTTCTTTAGCATTTAGCATTTAGAAATGAATCTAGAAATTGGCAAAAATACATTTTATTAGCGATATATTCATGTAAAAAAGAATATAAACCAAAGTCAGAAAATGAAGAAATGGAAAATCGGAAATCAACGATTTCTATAAACTTGTTATATATATATATATTATATAAAATAATTTTAATAATTTCTAATGTCGAATCATCCTTTACACAACTCCTAATATAGACAAGAGTATCATAATCTCTATCTGATGTAGCTTTAGGCCAGCATGCCAAAATTTCATCAGCAATAACCCAGTTATCTGGAATGATTTAGACTCCACAAAAAAATCGATCCACACAATTTCTTTCACAATAGAAGTCATCGGTGAAATGAGGAAAAGCAATGCGAGAAAATGAATCATTCTGCATCATATCAACATAATATAGCAGCTGAAACGGTCGATTATTTGAAGCGCCAAAATATCGAATTAATATCTTATTGTCCTTGTAGCTCTGATTTATCACCTAATAACTTCTTCCTGTTCCCTATGGTGAAAAATAAAAATAAATAAGATCAGCGTTTTACAACGCTTGAAGAGCATATAAATTGTCGAAGCATATAAATCGCATCTTTTGGTTATACTTCGCTTTGAATAGAAAAAGTGATTAAAAAACTGATTTAAACGCGTATGCAAAAATGCATAAATGTTAAAGAGGAATATTTTGAAAAACAATAAAGCCATTTGTTCAAATTTTTTTGTTTTTTCCCATACCTTTCCGAATCATTTGCAGCAACCTACGTAAAATAATCCATTGTCCACAGTATACAGTTCTGTCATTATAATAAACTGAAAATAAATAAATATATGTAAATCAATATCCTGGGGGCATCCCAATTCAATACCAATTAGTATATTGGACCAATTAAATTAGTTAAGTTAGAGTTAAATTAAATTTGGTTAATATTATTGGTATTATTGGTTCAATTATATCGTGTGTGTTTTCCTTTTTCTCGTGAGAAGGAAATCCATCACGGATACCCCAAACATTCGGGGAAGAGTCTAGGGTTATGCCGGACTCCTACCAGCTAATTGTTCTTTTCTCGGGTGGTGAACAACCAAGTTTATGTAAGAAAAGTAATGATCAATGAATATCTCGAAAATGGTGCCATTTGTAAATAAAATAGTATAGTTGTTTTATGTCCCCCATGAAATAATACAACTTTTGTTCGAAACATTTTTGCTGAAAATGCTTCGATGAAGAATTATCGAGGTACGATTTTTAAAAATGGGACATCCTGTATATTTTGAGAAAAAAATAATTTGAGTTTGGTGTACATGTTACATACATATATAGAAAAAAATAATTTGAATTTGATATACATATATATGCAATGACGCCCGTCATTCGATTGTTGGTTAACAGAGACGATATGATCAGCTGTACTATCGAAAAATCAAAGCGGTCTTTAAAATTGAAGAGCGACCTCCCTGGACGACGAGTCAATAAGCACCGATATTGATTTTTTGACAGCACAGCTGATCAGATCGTCCCAGCTGAGCAGCAATCAAATGACGGGCGTCACCATATACCATGACGCATAACAGTATTCTCATCTTATTATCTTTAGATACAAATTACAAATGGAAAGGTCCAGAGAAATTTATGTAATAATATTAAACAAAGTATGATTCCATTATATCTTCAGAGACAAATCCGTTTGATGATTCCTAAGACATATAAGAAATATAAATAAACATAGTCATACACAAATATAATAGCATATGTAGATATCTCCTTGACATTTTCCGAACAGTCACTAAGTGAACGCGTAAACTGTGGAAGCAGAATTTTGTTATTCCCCCTAAAAGGTAACGAGTTCCGCACATTATTTCTAAATTAATATTACAAATAACGCACTTCTGTAAATATTCATTATATCAAAATATTGGCATATATTCAACAGAAAAATTTCATCGCCTTAGCAACAAGAGGATCATAATATGTCTGATATATCACCGTTTTTTTCACCGTGGTCGATCAATTTTGTAGAAGCTAGGTCATATAGTGACTTCTTCAATCCAAATATTTGTCATTTGTGCAAAAAACCAGAAAGACTGGAGGAAGAGGACAATATATGTCCCTCGTGCAATATGATTCTTTATTGTCAAAGCGAACATGAATTAGTGGATAAAGAGAATCATGAACAAATCTGCGGAATTTTAGTAACAATTTCATATAAATACATGGAAATGTGGAAAACTTTCGGCTATATTCAGGACTTTTGGATCAGGTCGAGGAAAAACCTTTTACGTTTAGTCAAAAGAGAGTTGCAACGTGATATGAAGCCGTACGAAATACAAATGATTATGTTCGCTAAATCGTGTTTTCTTTGTCATCATCAACTTCATCGTAATCTTCGAACTTGTACGGAGTGCTATTGCGTGAACTATTGTTCGGAGCATAAAGAATCCTTCAATATTTTGCACAGTCCTAATTGCGCAGGATTGAAGTCGTGTTTTGAAGTAGATCGTGACATTTTCAGAGGCATGATCTCTCAAAAAAGATTTATTGATATTAACGTCGATGTATTTAACAAAGTTGAAATCGTTAACATACAAAAATTCTTGGATTCATTTGCGACTTTTAAAGATGAGTATTTATTCTATTTCTATTCTGATTACCTATCAGGACCGTTGACATTGTATTATGGAATGAAGAATGTAAACCTACATATAAAAAAATCTCCCTATATTATTCATATAATAGCCGCAACTGTTTTAGATGCACGATATATACTAGCCTGGGAAATTATATTACATGCTTTACCTCAGACACGGAATCATCTAAAAGTTATATTGATAGGACCAGAAATGCAAGAGGCATGTGAAAATGTCAAGGTTTGTAGCGTGTGTAAACACAATCAGAAGACATTCGAGTTTCAAAGTTATCGCATGCCTCTTAGCAATTATGTTAATACAATACTTAAACTTCACCTACCAGATGTAATTATAGCGTTTGAAGCAGATATTAGTACATGGGATTTACAAACTGTAATTTCAAAGTTAAAAGAACAATCTTGCCCTTTTATAGTAACAGCCGCGTCGCGCGCCAAATGCGAAGCAAACATAGGTATGTTAAAACTAGCTCTAAATGCATCCCTAGCAGATCTAATTCCAACCGAAAATAAGTTTAGTTCTCTTAAGGCATACAGAAATTTCGAAAACGACGTGTCCTATCGCAATAAGTTTCTATTTATCATTACGAGTTTACGTGATCTATTAAGGTTATATAATGACCCAATTACTCTACCACATAATATCGGTATACCTGACATACCATCTTTTTTCTCACCATGGGCGAGCAGTGATTTAGGAGATAAGTCTTACTATGACTTCTTCAATCCTAATGTTTGTCATGTGTGCAAAAAAACACCACAACAGCTGAAGATGGAATGCTATACATGTAGTTCTTGCAACGTGATTTTTTATTGTAACAACGATCATGAATTAATGGATAAAGAGAATCACAAAGATATCTGCGAAGTTTTAACAAAACTTTCGCATAGTAACCTGCAACTGTACTATACTTCTGAGCAGAATTGGATCAAGTCGAGGACAGAGTTTTTATATTTAGTTAAAATGTTGTTACAACGTGATATGAAGCCGTACGAAATAGAAATGATCATGTTCGCTAAATCGTGTTTTATTTGTCATGAACAATATAATCTTCAAACTTGTCCGGAATGCTGTTGTGTGAACTATTGTTCGGATCATGCAAAAGCCTTGGAAAATCATCAGAGTTTTAATTGTACTAAATTGAAGTCGTATCTCGAGATAGATCGTGAAATTTTACTCAAATTTTATTCAATCCGTCGAAAAGAATTTATGAATATTAGTGCCGATATAATTAGCACAGTTAATATCGTTGACATACAACAATTCTTGAAAGAATTTGCGTTTTGTGACACTCAGTATTCATTCTATGCCTATTCCGATTACCTATCAGGACCGTTGACACTTTATTATGGAATGAAGAGTAAAAATTTAGATCTAGATATAAAAGATTTGAAATATGTTGTTCATATAATAGCCGCAACTGTTTTAGATGCACGATATGTACTAGCCTGGGAAATTATGTTGCATATTTTATCTAAAACATTAAAGCATTTAAAAGTTGTATTGATAGGACCAGAAACGCAAGATGCACACCACATTGTCAAAGTTTGTTATAAATGTACACAAAGTAAGTTCGCAAGCAAGTTCGAGTTTCAAAGTTATCGCTTGCTTCTTAACAATTATGTTAATACGATACTTAAACTTCATCCACCAGATGTAATTATAGCATTTGAAGCAGATATTAGAGCGTGGGATTCACGAACAGAAATAATTTCAAAGTTAAATAGACAATCTTGCCCTTTTATAGTAACCAGCGCATCGTACTCCAAATGCGAACGAAACATACAGACATTAAGAGACGCTCTGGGTGCGGGATCACTAGCTGGTTTAACTCCAGACGAAAATAAATTTAGTTCACTTAAGGCATACAGAAATTTCGAAGACAATGAGGTGTACTATCGCAATCAGTTTTTATTTATTATTAATAATTTAAGTGATGTATTTTACGTAAATACTGATCCAAATGTGCCAGGACCTTCACACATATAAAACTTCTGCCAAATTGAATTTTTAAAGAAGAATATCATTAATACATTAAATCTAAAAGTATATCATAGAAAATATTTTGGAGCAGTTGTATACTATTGCGATTTCCGAACGCAGTCAATGTAGAAGATTTGTTACTCTACTCTATCGGACACGTTCCAGGTAAAAATTGAATTAATTAATTTGTATTCTATAGCACCATTCTGTAGCACTAACAGCACAGTGCAAGCCGTATAATATCAGCCTGTAACTTCATTATAACAATAATATGAGAGATAATATACAAACTGTTAGGCAATATATATTTATTTATACGAATGAATTCAGCATGTTATAAAATAAATAATACATGGAATTAGAATTATATTTTTTCAAGGTAACAATACCTGAATACTCTCCTTAAAAATATGTATTTCAACTCGCTCCATATTAGAAAAACATCGGACAATAAATTCATAAAATGGACGTAGAATTCGAATTTTATTTTTTACTTCTAAACTTAATACAGCTTATAAATAAAAGCTCCGGAAGAATTTATGTACTAATATTTAACAAAAGATAAATATAGGTTTCTTATATCTTCAGAATCAATTTCGTTTGATAATTTCCGGGAAATGGAAGAAATATAAATAAACATATCATAATACACAAATATATGACAATATAATATGTAGATATTTTCTTAGTGTTCTTTGGACAGTCACTAAGTATATTCGTAACTTATGAAAGTAGAAATTTATTATTCCCTTCAAGAAATATCGAGTTTCGCACATTATTTCTAAATTAATATTACAAATAACGCGTTTCTGCAAACACCCATTACATTAAAATATAGGTATATTTTCAATAGAAGAATCTCGTCTCATCAATAGAGAGTCCGTCATATCGGTATGTGCAATTTTTTTCACCATCATTTTTTCTACCATCGGAATTGAATAATTTGGAAACTGTGCTTTATCATAACTTCTTTAACCCAAATATTTGCCACCCTTGCAAGAAAATGCCAAAACAAAATGCTGAAAAATTACATCGTTCGTGCGACATGATTCTTTACTGTAGGAGAGATCATAAATCAAAATATAAGGAGAACCATGGAGAAATCTGCAAAATGTTAAAAAAAACTTTCATATTGTCACCCGGTATTTTGGCACATTCATAACTTTAGTCAAGAGGATTGGATCAAGTCGTGGAAAGACTTTTTATATTTATTTAAAGTGGAGTTACAATGTGATATGGAGCCGAAATACAGATGATAATGTTCACTAAATCGTGTTTTATTTGTCATGAACAGCGTAATCTTCACGGAAACTTGTACGGAATATTATTGCGTGGATTATTGTTGGAATCATGCAAAAACCTTGAAAAATCGTCATAGTCCCAATTGCGCTAAATTGAAGTTATGTCACCAAACAGATTATCTTGCAATTGTAAATAGTTAGCGGGCAAATTCCATCGAGATCGTAGAATATTTGATGCGTTAGAACCGTTACATTATTCGACAACGAATTAAATAAAGGAAATAAACAGATCGCAATCGAATAGATCGGGTTATTCTGATTATTCCTAAACTGTTGTTCCGATTGTAGCTATTATTTGGAGTCTTTGATCAGCATGTATTTAACAATATATCATCGATAAGCATGTTAGAATATATTACGGCTCGTTCGTTGTCCCCGCCGACACATCAGCATTAATGTGGACCAATAAGAAATCTCCTGGACGATTCGACAACAAATGTTTAAGAACGGCGAACAAGAAAAGGAGACACTTTTTTCTCTCGACTTTAGATCGCTTACGTTTCATTATAATTTCAGATTTATCACGATTATTGTAATTGAATAAATACTATATTACCGTTAAACTATTACGAGTGCGTGGCACTTTCTCCACCGTATGATTTCGTTTGCATTTCTTTCGATTGCGGCGGCCTTTTTGTCTTACACAATATACATTATTAACATATTATAAATTTTATGATATTACTGCCGATAAAGCTAAAATTGTTGTTCTCAAGGCAAAAATTCTCAAGACTATTCTCAAGTAGTCTCAAGAATATCTCAAGAATATATTGTTATAATATATTCCAATTTTTGTTAATTTGATGATCTTGAAGTTTCCAAAAATCAAGGCGCTATTGTAACAATATAATCTTGAGACTAAGTAGAGCAAAAAATGCTAGTACCACTTTTTCTTCCGACAAATAGTTAGCGAGATATTGTAAGTTAAATATTGAGAAAGTTATCATGTTTTTCTTAAACGTCTAAAAAAATATTAGGCAAAGAAATAAATGTTTTATACAAAAGTTGTTCAAATTAACTAGTAATAAAAAACAGTGTAATAAAAAATAAGAGTTCCCATTTAAAAAACGCAGGTTGACCTTCAAATGACCTTGAAAATAGAGGTCAAGGTCAAAGTTGAGGTCATCATAAGATAGCTCACTTAAATCCCTACAACTTTTATTGGAGTCATTTTCCATAAAAGTGCGTACTTTTAAGATAATAGGAAGGTCCAATATTTTTTGATGACTCTGTATACTAGCTTGGGAAATTATATTGTATACTTTATCTAAGAATTACGCCATTTAGGAGTTATACTGGTAGGAACAGAAATGCAGAGCGTACACGAAATGTCGAAATTTGTCACAAATGTAACCAACGCAAATGTAAGTTTAAAAATGTGAGTTTAAAAATGTGAGTTTAAAAATTTTCGAGTTTAAAAGTTTTCGAATTTAAAAGTTTTCGCCTTTTCGCGATTATGCATATATGATGCCTATATTTAAGCCACCGAGTGTAATCATAGCATTTGAAGCAGATTTTTAGTGATTGGGGTTTACGAGCGGAAATAATTTTAAAATTAAAGAGACAATATTGTCCATTTATTGTAATTACCGTATCGTACTCTAAATTTGAACAGAACATGCAGGAGTTAAGTAAATTTCTGGACACCATTAAGAGTAACTCCAACCGATAATAAATTTTTTTAAGATGTACAGAAATTTTGAGGACAATGACGTGTCTTATTCTAATAAGTTCCTAATTATCTTTAGAAATTTACGTGATTTATTGAATTTATGTTATAATGAACCGGTTAAAACCAATGCACCATGGCGTCCTTGGTAGGAGATTTGCGAGATTGAATTTCTGCAGAAGAATATTTTTAATATATTAAGTACTTGAATTAATTCTCGCTGTTGGCTAATAGAGGTCAATAGTTGTGCTATTTTAACATGGCCGAAAGTAACCGTTGATGTATATGAAAATACTGTCAATAGGCTTTAATAATCAGTATATGACATTACATCGGAGTACAAAGAACATACTTTTTTATTGCATTGAAGATGTCAGGTTTCGTACCAAAAGAAAGAACATTTGTGGGAAGCATTACTTTTCTGCTTTGCTTATTGTTCTTTGAATCCATTATGTCAATAGTTTTATATATTTTGCTGATATCTTAATTGTAACCTCTAATGGTTTTGGTCGGAATAATATTGTTTGACATTTTGAAGTATTTATATTGAGTTTCCATGAAAATTTCAAACGTCGTTATTCTTATTCGTAATTTCACGATCAGCTTTAGCCGTGCGGTTCGCCACGAAGCGTTTCATCGGCGAATATGACTGCACCACGGACAGAATCTATCGAGTGGACAGTCAGTTGGGGTGCTCATGGGAAATAGCAGATCCTCCGGGGTACCCGGCGGCGGCCGCGGAACCGAAATTGCGCTGGGCCGACGCAATAGTTCTTGTTTATTCCGTAACGGACCGAGTCAGCTTCGATGAGACTTCTCGATTGAGGTATGTTGTTCATTTAAATCCGAGATGCACAATGATTGCAATATAACACCTTTAGCTTGTTATTCTAAGACCAAAATTGCATAGACATATAATATTGGATGAGTGCAAAAGTTCGTGGTCGACTCTAATAAATCATTAAAAGAGTCATTACGAGAGTTGTACGAGGTCTATCCGGAAGATATCTGACCTTGTGTTCTAACTTTGAACCTAGGAATACTGTTGTCAAAAACAGGTTTTACCATTTAAGGGGGACTTTTATGAGTACCCTTACCAAACGGCACGACGGCACAACAGCTGTTCAGTCAGCAACGGTACGCTGTTGTGTAAATGTCGAACCTCGTACATGTCCTATTTCATAATGACCGAACGCATCGAACAAAGAGTCTGCATTAAATTTTGTCAAAAACTTGCCAAAAACTACTGAGGATGAGTTATGGTTATGACCCTGAGACAAAAGTCCAATCTTCGTAAGATAGGATGTCCGAAGAGCAAGGCCCAAGAAGGCATGCCAGAAGTCTGATCAAGGCAATGCACACTGCTTTCTTCGACCAGGAAGGTATTGTTCATCATGAATATGCTGCAGAGGATTAGAACAAAGAATATTACTTAAAAGTTCTGAAGCAATTACGTGACGTAGTAAGAAGGAAAAAGCCTGATTTGTAGAAAAGTGGTGACTGGATGCTTCATCACAACTGAGGTTTTAATACAACTGAGGACTAAGGAATAAGTTGCGATGAACACATCGTTCATCGCAACTTATTCAGCAATTTCTAGTGAAACACGGAATTATTCAACTTCGCCAGCCCCCCTACAGTCCTAATCTAACTCATATATATAACAATCCTGCGACTTCTGGCTGTCCTCCAAATTGGAAAATCCTGTAAAAGGAGGAAAATTTGATGACATAGAAGAAATAAAAAAGAATGCGACAAAGCAGCTGTTAGCTATTCTGAAAGCTGAATATAAAAAGTGTTGCCGACAGTGGAAAGATCACTGGAAGAAAGTTATGGTTTCTAAAGGGAAGTACTTTGAAAGAGACATTGTTACCATTGACCAGAATTAACTCTTTCTCCTGCTACAGCATAAGATCAGATATTTCCTGGACAGATCTCGTATGGTAACGTCGGATTGTTATATAGGGTGAAGAAAAAACCTCGGGACCCCTGAAAATTTCGAAAAATATACACTTTATAAAAAAATGTTTCAGACAAAAGTTGTAGCGTCGAAGAAGATCTATTTACCGATCTTAACAATTTGACCTTGGGTGGCGTCATCAAGGTCAGGACAAAGTCACCTCAGATTTTCTAAATAGAAACCCCAATTTTTTATTGCATGGGATATTGCAAAAGTTCTATTATATAGGCCAGAATCATGAAGCTATCAAACAGATGGCAAAAGGTTATTGAATTAAACGGATAATATATTACAGAATAAAGTTTTAGAATAGAGTTAATGATGGAGATTTCGGGCCTTACACGTATCCCCGAAGTCATGAGACGAGTCAGTCGCCTCACGATGGCGGTGAGAATGTCATTTTTCTATCCTATAATAGAAAGAGTTAAAGAATGAAGATTTTGTTTTGTATAAAAACAAATAGCTTTTCGTTTTGTATAAAAACAAATAGCTTTTCGTTTTGTATAGAAAAAAGTAATATGACTTTCTTACCAGCCTGATAGAATGATGATACAAAATGCTGTCCTTGTTTAATTTTTCACGTTTTTTCAGCCAAATGCATAGTCTAAGTATTATATGTCTATACGAAGAAAACTGTATAGTTATCTTTCTAGCAAAAGGTATTTTATGATCGAGGCATACGTATTCCCATGTGATTGCAATTCTTAAGCTTTAAGCGTTATTATTACGTTAAGCGTTATTACTTCTAGTAACGCGAGAAACAACTCTCGCTGGAAGCTTCGGCTGTTACGTAATTTCCGGCAAAAGGCTAAAGGCTTCTACATCCATCGTATTTCGGGCCTTACACGTGTCCCTAAAGTCATGAAACTGACGGGTCAATCGCCTCACGATGGCGGCGAGAGTGACATTTTTCTATTCTAATCGCATCCGGCGTGTCATCATGCCACGATCCGTTCGCGTTGCAATAGATGTGACAAATATGCGGGCCGAGTGTTCAGACACAGAATGCTTGGAATAATACATTTTTCTCACTAAAAGAGAAAACAGAAATTATCAGAAATAGGCTCTTGATTTAAAATATTCGCTATTCATTCCTCCTTTAGGTATACCGAGTGTCTCCAATAATGATCTCCGAACTGTGATACAAACGGGATAATTCTGAATGAAAAATATGAGTCGAAGAGAAATGTAGAAAAAAAATAACATTCTTTTTATAAGTTAGTTTCTTTCTTGAGAAAAATTAACTTTCAATATTCGTCAGGTACGTGTGCTATGCCCGATCTGAACAGAGTTGAGATAATAAAATAAATTTAGCTTTCGAACACTTAAAAACAAAATACGCTGGCAAGTATTCGCGCAAATCTAACACGAAGAGCACAATTATGCATGCGACAAATTTAGCAACACTTTCAACAATTTTTGAGTCAATAAAACAAAGTTTTTAAAAAGTAAACATATCTTGACTTGTTATGTATTATATCTTTGATGTATCCTTATAATATTTGCAATTTTGTAAACACAAATGTCGGCAATTTTGTAAACATAACGTATAATGAGCTCCGTTGAGATTAAACACATATTACGCATCTGACGAATATTAACCCTTAAAAGCTACCATAAAAAAGAATCACGTTAATGATGTTATATAGGTGAAATTTTATCCCGATATATATTTCTTTTTGTTTTAAAAATAAAAACAGTCAAACAAAAAAATGCAGTTTAATATATTATTGAATATTAGATGGAAAGTAGAAAAGTTTGCAGCAGATAATTTAATATCTAATAAGAACGAAATCAAATTCGCATGGGCTGAAATTCCACCCATGGTAGCCTTTAAGGGTTAAAAATTGTTTTTCTCTGAAAATAAAGTCTCTATCGTATAAAAAAATTCTTCTATATTTTTAACTTATTTCTTCATGTAGAATCATCCCCCTCCCGCTTGTATCATAAGTTTGGAGAGACACCCGATATAAAAATCTATCATCTTTGTCACTGTTGTCCAGATTTCTGGTGTCGCACGCGAGACGAGGTAGAAAGGTGCCGCCAGTCGTGTTGCTTGTGGGAAACAAGGCCGATCTCTCTGGCTCACCCGGTGAGCGCATGGTGTCCGCCCTGGAAGGCCAGAAAAGGGCAAAAGAAATCGAGGCTCACGCTTTCCACGAGATTTCCGCGAGAGAATCGGTTGACCAGGTAAGAACCAGCGTAAAAAGCATCTAAAACGGTTACACCAACTACGGATACTCATTTTCGCATCGTTCTTTCTTTTTTGCATGAACAGAAGTCTTATTATGAACGCATGTTTGATGTTAAGCCTAGCCGATCGATTGTTAATTCTGTTTCAGTAAGACGTATTAATTAACTCTTTTACTTTGGCACTTTTTTTCTACCTGACAGATTTCTGTGAAATCTTGCATTTCTATGTTTCTTGAGTCGCTTTGATATTAGAAAATGATATTAGAACTTTATTCTGTAGTCAATAAATTAAACAAAAGAAAAAGAAAACTTACTACGTTTCGACTTACATATGGAAGACTTGCTGCGTCCTACTTTTCAAATACCGAAGTCGAACCCAAAAGTCATACTTACCTTATTGTCTTGTCGTTTTCTCTCTTTTAGCGTCGCCGCGGCTGATTTTCACTCTGTTTTTCCTCCTGTTATTTTCTCGTCAGCATTATAAACGATATTGAAAAGAATACCCAGTATTATTCGTCCTTTATTCTTATCTGTACAACCAATTGTGTCCACTTCTGAATCTTATGATCGCCCAGCCAAAAACATATGGTGAACCCATTATGTAACAAATAAAATTCTTGCCATTCCTAGGTCAAACTGCACAGGTGCACACTATCAATTAAAAATATAATTATGTATGCTTGAACAGAAGCTTATTTAACAGAGAATTTATCGGTGTGTAACACTTACAGAAGTCAATTATTTAAAGTTTTGCATATATTAAAGCGTGCATTAAAACGGCACGAACTTTCTTAGTTATCTGATATATCCCATATAGCACAACAGTTGCTGCAACGTTGCTGTAACACTGCAACATTGTTCCGATGTTGCAATAATGTTGCTGCAACTTTCTATGCTGTATAGGATAATTCGCTTGTCGATATCCTGACGATTTGTATTTCTAATCGAACGAGATGTTTTATATTGCGCGAGAAATGCTAGCGATAGATTATGAGCAGCGTAAGTGTTCAACTGTGTTAATCTAAACAGTTGAGCCTCGCAGGTCCCCTTCATATGTGTCTGCTTCATGATGATCAAAGGATAAATATATCACAACAAAGAAATATTATATCAAACATTTCAAAATATTAACTGTGATTTACAGATATAAAAGTTTCTCAAATCGTTAATTACGAATTTCATATCAGATTTACAAAATTAAAAATACTAAACCCAATATGGCCATTACACAAGAATAAAATCATCAAAATATGTATAAACATGCTAAAAATATATTACATACTATAGATTTCATGGCTTATTATGAATTTAATGTTAAATTAAAAAAATTTGGAATAGCTGAACCAATATTCCATAAAAAGGCGATTTATAGAAGTACGCACATATATATGAATATGTGATTCTATATATTGAAGCGGTAATTAAGTCTACTAGAAATATATATAAATAATATAACTTTGGAAAATATATGAAACTTACTATGTACCGGTGTTTGGAACTTTTGGGAACGAAAAATTGTGAAGATTAATCAAATCAAATTGAGAAGAAAAGTCATGTATCATTTTGCAAAAATCGCAACAGTGATACAGAATATTTTTGTTCAGAATAATCTAATCTACAATTATATGAAGGCTATTGTGTCTAGAGATAGGCTTAAGATTCAGGGTTCAAAGTTCAATATATTCACATCTATCGCTAGACAAAATAGTCGTCATATAATTGTAGATTAAGTTATTCTGAACAAAAAATTCTTTCATCATTTTATAAGTATACATATTTTCAAAGTTATCAATTAAAAGAGCCTTTAAATGTGATCATTTTCAATCATTAGTAATTTAATAATTGTTCCGATTTTTGCAAAATGGTACATGACTTTTCTTCTCAGTTTCATTTGATTAATCTTCACAATTTTTCGTTTCCGAAAGATTATCCTGTGTAACATGATGTTACTCTTAATTGCAAATATCTAATGTGGCTATCTATATACATATGTCATCCATCGTGAAGGTCAATATGTCCAATCGTTTTTATTTCTGTCTTATCTTATTTCCATTGTGTTTATCGTCAGTTTAGTTATAGGTGTAATAAAAGCTTAATAACAAGGTTCGAGGTTACACTGATTATTTGAAGTGTGTTTAAAATGCAAAAAAAGTTATCAGCCACATTTATCGAATGCAAATCGTGAATAAATATGACGTGGCGGAGTATATACAATATTATACAGGGATGTTACTAGTGTTCGGATATAAAAAATGTTTTATCAAAAAAGTCGTTTATTAGAGAAAAAATATAAAGATACGAAGAAATGGTAGATCAAACTGAGAAGAAAAGTCAAGTACTATTTTACAAAAATCGCAATAGTTATTAACGATTGAAAATGGCCACATCTAGAGGCTCTTTTAATTGATAACTTGAAATTTGCGTACTTATTTGCAAAATAGGATGTGTCTAATGATAGATATGAATATATTGAACTTTGAACTCTGAATCTTGAACCTGTCTCTAGGCACAATAGCCATCATATAATTGTAGATTAGATTATTCTGAACAAAAAATAAGTATGCAAATTTTCAAGTTATCAATTAAAAGAGCCTCTAGATGTGGTAATTTTCAATCATTAATAACTTAATGACTATTGCGATTTTTGCAAAATGGTACATGACTTTTCTTCTCAGTTTGATCTGATTAATCTTCACAATTTTTCGTTTCTAAAAGATCCCCTATATAAAACGTTTGTAGAATCTACGGAATATCGATAAATTAATAACTTTCATCTTTACAGTGAACAAATAATTCGTTTATAAAAAAACTAACATGCGAAAAATTCTGGAAAAACTATACGAAGGGCTTTTAAAATGTTTCCGGAAAGTAGTTATTATTCGTAAATAGAATGCTATATTTGTTACTAATTGATGCGGACGTAATCTTGCTGAGGCAGTGTTGCACAATATTCACATGTGATGCTTTGTCAGCTAAATTTACCCTTGCATCTGCGAACATGAATTCGTGTAAATTTAAAGTGAGCGCTAACATTAAATTCTTAGTTAAATTGAGTTGGAAAGAATCTGTTATTATTAAGGCTATCACAGATGTTTTGGAGACAAACTACTTTTGATGAATGGATTAATCGGTTTAATGAGAGTCGAGAGAACATTAAAGACGACAGTTGCAGTAGGAGACCATCAACTTCAATCTCTGAAATCCATATTGTGGAAATTATAGTAAAAAATGATGACTGAATAACAGTTCAAATGATAGCTTAGACTTTAGACATATTCATAGGATCAGGACATTTAAAAAATAAAGTGCTTAATTTAATTTGCTGTCCTTTTATACATTTTCCGGGAACTTTCCGAACGCTCTATGAATATATTATATTTTGATATATGAAGAATATTCAGTAAAATTTTCAGCCTCTAATTTTAAATATTTTCTAAGAAATTAAATTTTTTTAAGTCAAGTTTTTTTCAACTTTGTAAATAATTAAAAATTAATAATTGCATATAGAAACTATGGAAAATATATAAAGAAAATATTAATATATCAGAAAAATCATACTTATTTTCACTAAACTCTAAACAGTGCATTGTAAAAATGAAAGAGAGAAAGATGATAAATATATTTAACATTGCCATACAAAAAGGTTAATACAAAGCAAGAAACTGAACATTTGTCAATATCATAACACATGAAAATGTAGCATCGTGATAAGATTAGTGCTAACTTCGTACACAGCAATCCTTTTGCTTCCATACGATTCGCAATCTAAGGATTGTAAAGTATGACATAATTATTAATTTTTCAGTATGCATTAACAAAATCTAGGAAAATATTAATTAGTACAGAGGGAGAAACATAAAAATGCGGAAAAGCCAAAACCTAAGTAGTAACCGTGTCTAATTTGCTTAATTTCAGTATTTAATATTGCTTTAATTCAGTAATCAGATGAGATAGTGCTTTGAACATGATATAAAGGTTAAAGGGTACCAGTTTTTTTCCCAATAATATAAAAATAGATGGAATATATAGCTGTAAATCTTTTTTAGTGATGTATATCAAGGAAATTTAACGAAATATAAATCTTGAGAAATATCGATAATTATTTATTTATATACGATAATGATATTTTTTAACATAATACTATATAACATAATAATATATTAATTAATGTTAATATCTACAAAATCTGTTATTATCTACAAAAAAATATGAAAAAAGAAAATTTGCAATGAAATACACAAAAGTAAGGATAGAAAAGGAACAGAAAAAGGGCAAAGCAATATTGCTGTTCTGTTGTGAATTGAAAGCGTAAGCCTAAAAAAAAAGATAAATAATCGATAATGTTTTCATTATTGTTATATGTTTTTATTATTTTATCATACTCAATAATGATTGAATTAATTATTAATCATTAAATTAATTATATTATTCATTAATCATTATATTAATATTATATTAATCATTAATCATTAAATATTTTTATCTATTTTGCTCAACTTAAACTGCTTCTCCGGATATAGTTCCAGCGAAAAATGACTCGTCGATCGATGTCGAAACGACGTCAAATCAATGTCGGAAAGTTCAAATCGACATCAATTTGACATCGTTTCGACATAGATCGATGAGTCATTTCTCAATGGGGTAGGCACAACTTCTTTTGCAATTTTCGTATCCGATTTTAGTATTTTCCTATTGATTCTCCGTTCAAAATAAATCTATGTCATGTCTTTTCGTTGATTCTAAATTTTATTTTTCTTACATGTATGTCATCTATAATAATAATGTTTAAACTTAAGAATAAGAAAGGCCTTAGTATGTTCGTTATGTATTCACAATATGGCTTCAGTAGGAGGCAAGGTCAGGGATTAAACGCATAACTCCGAATTAAATGTAAAATTCCGGATAAAACGAACAAAATAAGCGTCTGCTTTTCGTCCGGGTAATAATCGAACTTTGATAATGCTGTTGTACCGTTTCGAGCATTTAAAAATAATCGTAATCTAAATATTACTTTTAAAAGATCGATTGGTTATAAATGGACGGAATGTCCGATAAACGGAGATATAAATATAAATCAAAGTAACCATAAAATAGGAATAAGGATATAAAGTCAGTCCTCAATCGTTCAACCTAATCGCAGCGGGAGCTATTTTTCTAAACGATTGTTTACTCCGCGGGGAACCCAATCATGGCATTTACGCGTGATCGCGAGGCGTAAACAAAAGCTATATCGCTCATTCTCAAGGCAGGCAGTGTGCGAGTATATTTTCGAGTGATTATCTACACATTGTAATAACGATCAGGAGTGAACTGGCATATCTCAGAACCCGGATGATTTCACAGAGTGCTATAATTCTAAACGAACACAGTAAATTCCAAAGAATAATCTCCAGATATAATTGCAACGCGAAATCGTTGCAGAATCTATGACGTAGCTACATCCAATTTAATTTTTGCGGTCGTCAAAATACTTAATTTTACATAACCGCTTGATGGAGTTGTGTTGTGTCTGAAGAGGTACCACAAATATACGAAATATAGTTCGCGAAAAATCAAATTTGATAATATGGATAACATGTTTGATATACGCGCCCGTATAGATGCAAAGAAGTATTGTAAAAAAATATACAAAATAATTATTTAGGAAAATCAGGTTCGATTTTTCTCTGAATTAATATTTTGCATATTAGTTTCATTTACGATATAACGGGGAAAGATTTTGAACAATTAAAAATATAGCAATAGTCGGCTAGACGATAAGAACGGGAATAATTTAAATCGAAAACGTTTGGATAAAAATATTTAATACATTTATCTTAAAATTCGGTACTAACTGATTCGGTTATTATCAAATTCGATAATTATCGATTGTCGATAATAACACGTATTTAAATCATATTTTTTCGAATATGAATTGATTTTTATCGATCCATTACTTCTTAAATACCAACGAATTATGCAAACATCCTCAATAAAATAATAGTCTTTTGTCATGTGTTTCGCGCACACTTACGCATAAAATAGAAAAAAGAAAGACAGAGAAATACGATGACATGAGCAGTAACGCTACAAATATTTTTCTTCTTTCTATTTAATGTGTTACACGTGGCAGATAATCTAGTCTTTCTGCAATAACGGGCTTTGCCGGTTATTTTTATTCGACAGGTCATGGCCGTATTTATGAACATATTAAGACTATTGACGGAACTGCCCGCCACCCCGGGAAATCAGCCGACATCTTTCAGAACGAGAGCTTGTACAGACGGATCCATCAACACATATCGCCGGTCTTCTCCCCCTCCTACGAATAGAAGGTTCAGCATCTCCGCACGAGGCAATTTACTGTAATCTTCAGATTTCTCTCTCAGAGAAGAGAGGAATCGCCATATATAATTTGTAACACTGTTTTATCATAATTTATTTTGCTAGAAATAGAGAAAATGCCATATTGCATAGTAATCGTTTTAATAAAACTGGTGGTTTAATAAAATCGGTTTAATAAAACTGTATTTATACAAATGAGTTACTTGCGTACTCTTTTATAATTTTAGTTCTTATTGATAGCAAAATATATCAACCGGTATTCTAATCATATATTTTTCGATTGATTTGCAATACAAATTTTTTTCAATGGTAACGTCGAACGGCACTATAGTTTAAAATTCGACGGTTTTAGATGTACTAAATTTTCTTTGAAAAAAAAAAAAACAGATAAAGAGAAAACAATAAATAATAAATATCTTACACTATTCGAAACTATCCGTGTCTTATCGCGAACACTAGAGCTTTTGGGTTTTCATCTTGTATCGCCGTTCTGCAGCGTGTCACCGTGTTGGAAGCAGCTTTTCCGACTATAAGAATTTATATAAAACAATATTATTCCTGTGCAATATTATAGATTAATTCAGAAGTCTTTTATAGTATATATCTTTTATTTGTCGGTGTATTTCTATTTGCAAAATGCTTTGTTTATAGCATAATAAATTGCATTATTTAGTTTATAAGTCCTTAAAGTAGGACCTACTAGAGAGACAGAAAACTGATCAGATAGTAACAGTCGCGGAGTTTAATTTAATTAAAACAGATCTCTGTCGTACGTCGATCAAATACTTTAGTGTAAAGTATCTCAACTTTTGTTTTTATTATCGTTTCCTTATACAACTTTTTTACACATATTCTTTAATAATCGTCTACGAAATTTTAATATCACAATATACTACGTATCGTCATATATTATATGTGTATCTGTGCTTTTGATTAAGAGGTTGAGTTTTGGTCTCTAGCAATAGATACGTTTTAGCAACAAGTTAATGGTTAGTACGAATGTTGAAATCTGGCAACACTAAAAGATTTAACATTTCTTTATGATATATGACAGTTTGTGCGCTATTGTTACTGATAGTTTCATTGTTTATACGCGTTTAAAATTGTACAAAATTGCGTTTTTTACATTCATTATTTCTTCTGCTTGATTTGAAAAATCGGCAACTAAAGCTCATGAAATATTTGTTATAACTTATGGCGACCAAGTTCCATCTTTTCAACTGTATTTCAACTGTAAATTTTGGTTTCAACGATTCAAAAGTGGTGATTTCGATTTGAGTGACAAAGAACGTATTGATCAACCAAAAATTTAAAAGATTCTAAATTGCAAGCATTATTGAATGAAAACACCGCTCAAACGGAGAAATAATTAGCTCAATAATTCAACGTCGATAAATCAACAATTTCTAAACGCCTACACGCCATGGGAAAAATTCAAACGAAAGACAAATGGGTTCCACATAAATTCAGTGAAGGCGCCATTGCAAATTGTTTAAATATCGTCATGTTTTTGCTTGCCAGACAGAACGAAGAGTTTTTGTGGCGAATTGTAACTGGATAAAAAGTGGATTTATTTTGATAATCGAAAGCGAAAAAAATTATGGATTGATCCAGGACAACCATCAACAGCGATACTAACGGAACATTCTCGATCATAAAGCAATGCTCTTATCTCATATGCTCATATTTGGTAGGATAAGTGTACTATGTAGTGTACTATGAGATTCTAAAACCGAATGAAACAGTTACGAGGGAGAGATACCAGCAACGATTGAATAAATTGAATGATGAATTGATGCAAAAAAAGCCAGCGATAGCCAGCAATAGACGCAACGTGATTCTTTTGCACGATAATACTCGTTCACATGTTGCTTCAATCGTTAAACAAATATTGTTAAAGCTCGAATAGGAAATCCTTCCATACCCAGTGTATTCTCCAGACTTAGCACCATCTGATTACCATTTATTCCAATCGATGCACCACGCTTTGGCAGATACACACTTCAATAATTACGAAAATGTGCAAAAATGGGTGTCTAATTGGATTGCTTCGAAAGATAGATCGTTCTATCGACGCGGAATCGTTATGTTGCTAGAAAGATGTGAAAAAGTCACAGCTAACAGAAAATATTTTTATTGATGTAAATTTAACTATTTCCTTAAAATAAAGATAAAAATATTGACGAAATAAGGCCAGAATTAATTCAACCTCCTAATTAAAAGAATAAATATAAAGTTTATTTTTCCTACGTAATGCATTTTATTTTTCATAAAATTAATCTCAATGCTCTTTATAAGATACTCAAAAAAATATGACGAGAAAAATTAAATATTAAGAAATAAAGTGTCATTAAATAAGTTTGGATCATAGAGAGCTATTTCGACATTAAAAAATTCTTTTTCATAAATGAAATCCTAAAATCAATATTTGCCTCTCTAGGGACGATATTATTTTCCTATTGAGAATATCCTTGAATAATACTCTTTAGTTTTTTTTAACCTAATAAAATTTATATTTATTACAATATTAACACGTATTTAATACTTATAAAAGAAGACTTTTGAATTAACCTAATAATCCTAACAAGTAAATTTGTATGCATATATTTGAAAACCTTACCCCTAAGTCTTGCTGCATGTTGTACACCAATATTTAATTCTTTTAAGCTGGCTGCGAGCTCCCGATGACTGTTAAGTCGAATCTCGTGTTCACGGATCAGATCACCATTAATATTCTTTAATTGACTTAGTCTTTTGCGCATGTCTTCGACATTTTCGAGAATTCTAGCATCTTCCAGGCGAATCACAATATTTTTTAGAAGAGTCGCACTGCCTGCAGCTTCCGCTTGAAGTCGCGCGTCAACTTCCTTTAAGCCTGAATACATCACAATAATATCGTAACATTGAAAATTCAACAAGAATTAATGTTAATTTAATTTTATACAGGATGTCCCATTTTATAAAACATACCTCGATAATTCTTCAAGCATTTTCAGCAAAAATGTTTCGGATAAAAGTTGTAGGGATCACTGATCGGCGAGAGCCATCGACCAGCGATCTTGAACTTGACCTTGAAGTCGATTTTCAAGGACAGGTCAAGGTCAACTTAATTTTTTTAAATGGAAATCGCCATTTTTTAATATATCATCTTTTTCTACCAATTAATTTGAACAACTGTCTGAAACATTTTTTTATTTATCTAACATGTTTTGAGATATTTAAAGAAAACTTGATGACTTTTCAATACTTAACTTACGATATCTCGCTAACTATTTGTCGGAAGAAAAAATGGTACCAGACTTTTTTACTCTATTTGGTCTCAAGAACATATTGTTACAATAGTTCCCTAACTTTTGTTAACTTATTGACTTTTGGAAATTTCAAAATCAAATTAACAAAAGTCAGGGTGCTATTGTAACAATATATTCTTGAGACAAAGTAGAATAAAAAAGTTTAATTGCATTTTTGCTTCCGATAAATAGTTGGCGAGACATCGTAAGTTAAATATTGAAAAATTGTTCCGAGTTTTCCTTAAATATCTCAAAAAATATTAGGCAAATAAAAAATGTTTCAGACAAAAGTTATTAAAATTAATTGATAGGAAAAGATGATATAATAAAAAAATGAAGGTTTTCATTTAAAAAAATTAAGTTGACCTTGACCTGACCTTGAAAATCGACTTCAAGGTCGCCGGTCGATAGCCCCCAGTGACCCCTATAACTTTTGTCCGAGACATTTTTGCTAAAAATGCTTCGTTGAAGAATTATCGAGATGCGTTTTTCAAAATGTGATATCCTGTATAGCTGAGTATCTCAGATATTTTGATAACCAAGTTTTTCATTAGATTATCTGAGGATCCAAGTATTCTCCAAATTATTCAAATACTCGATGATTCGATTATTTCCCTGACAACACACGATTTCCTAGAAATGTCCTGAGAATATTCCGTTGAGACGTTCTCAGAACGTCTTCAGAACGTCCTCTGTGTTGTTAGGGTTATTCTTATTACTATTTCTTCTTATTCATTTTTCAAGTCATGTCATGCATTTTATATCAAGATAAGTCAAAAAAAGGATAAATTATAAAATATTTAGTTTTCTCTCTCACATATACACTGCTCAAAAGAATTATGACATAGATAATTTATTGCCGAAAATTGACCAACTTTGATTGGCGATTATTTCACGAAAAATTATTGTAGATTAACGATTTTTTTTCAAAATGAAACTTGAAGTCTCTATTTTAAGAATGTATCTATTTTTTGTATGCGATGCACCGCTACCTCTATAACCCCTGACATCTGAGGGCATGTTTGGTATATTGAAAATTGCAAAGTTTGACGGAGTGCACGGACGTGGATAATTTTTTTTCGGGGACGCCGTTTGCATCATCATAAAGTTCAAATCTTTCCCTTCAATTTGAAAAAAATGAAGTCGCTACAATTTTTTTTCGCAAAGTTACAGCCCCTCAGAAATAATGATATTTTTGAAGGGCTGTAACTTTGCGAAAAAAAAGTTGTAGGGACCCCTTCTTTTTTTCTTCTTTTTTCAAATTGAAGGGGAAGATTTGAACTTTATGATGCAAACGGCGTCCCTGAAAAACAATTGTCCATGTGCGTGCATTCCGTCAAAATTTGCAATTTTCAATATACCAAACATGCCCTCAGATGTCAGGGGTTACAGAGGTAGCGGTGCATCGCATGCAAAAGATAGAGATACATTCTTAAAATAGAGACTTCAAGCTTCATTTTGAAAAAAAAATCATTAGTCTACAATAATATTTCGCGAAGTAATCGCCAGTCAAAGTTGGTCAATTTTCGGCAATAAATTATCTATGCCATAATTCTTTTGAGCAGTGTACATACATATTTCAGAATATGTTAAAATAAAATTAACAAAAGTGACTAATTTTTTGTTGATTTTATTTTAAATAGTACGTGTATGTGTGTGTATGTGCGCGCGTATGTGTGCATATGAATCAAAGCAAATGTATTTACATAAAAAAATATAATTTTTTAAAACGATTTTTTCTTGATTCGATGTACTTGGATAATATCTGCGAGTTTGGGCACTCAAATATAAAATACCAGATTATATTGGCAGCAATAAAAATTACCCTTAACACGCTCCAACGCATCCAGCATTTTACTCTCTTCCGCCGGGAATGTCGCTTCAGAATTCAATTCCCTGACGCCCAGATACATTGCGAGAGACTGAATGATGTCGCCGGCGAACGTCGAGTCGTCTGTCTGGATGGTCACCTTCCCGGTGGCGTTTGATTTGAAACAGTGCACTTTGTCGTCGCGCATGCCACGCAGCCATATTTCGATGCAGCCGGCATTCGAACCGCTCTCTGCGACCTCCAGTTCCTCACCCAGGATAAGACTCTGATTCAACCAAATGGCGATACGCTGCGGTCTTTCGGCAACCTACAGCTTACAAATATTTTGCGATACTAATGTAGTGTATTGAGTTTCCTCTGGATATCATTTTGACAATGAGTCAAAACTCGAAACGTATTGACTTACGTCCGCTACGACGCCATTATTCAATAATTCTTCTGGGATTTGTTGCGGTCTCGGGATAAATTCGTACATACAGAATCTCGGTAATTGTCGTGTTATTTCGAAGACCTGTCGAATATTACAGAATAATAAAAAATTTGAAGTACGCATTGCAGAATTAAACAACGGCGCGGACGGTAGAAACAGGAATGATTTACGGATCCTGTTTGTCGGTCATGGTTATAATGACGCTAGAAACAAAAAAGAATATATGCCCAAAATTCTTCTATAAAGTATATTAAAAGAAAAATATATGTCTATAAATACACATACATAAAATGACACTTGCAATTAACTGAGCAGATTTATAAAATACTTAAAAAATTTTTTTTATTTGAATAATCAATAAAGATAAAATCGACGTAGTATTAAATTAAACAATTAAAAAATAGTTAAAATATTAATCAAATGTTACGTTCATTGTAGAACTATTTGTACTCGTGGAATAAAAGAAGATCAAAATTTGCCAAATAATGTTATTAGAGTAAAAAATTTTTGGAACACTTTATAAATCTATTCAATCTCGATTATCAGTTTATTAACATATATTAACATATATTAACATGTATTTTCTTATTTCTAATGTCATTGAAAATGAAAATGACGGCGAAGAATCAATGACGTGTATAACTAGACCAAGCATTCGATCAGCTATAAACGAGGAGGGTGAAGCCGGAAGCTGGCAGTTTACGACAGAATGAGAACGTTGCACGGCATCAAAATCTTTCTCACTCTATCCTATAGAATACTATAGACTGTCAAAAGCAATATGGCGCGGTACGAACCACATAAGTTATGTGAATATTGAGTGCAAAGATATACATTGAGCAGTTTTCGCTATTGTATTATTCTGATACTTATTTTTCTAATATATATTTCATATACTTAATATTTACACGATTTAATGCAAATATACACATTCAACATCCACATTATTCACGTCATTCGTCGTTTGACAACTGTAGAATAGAGTGAGAAAGTACGAGGATAGTCCCAAAAGTACCTGACCTAACAAAGAAAACACAAAAAATTTGGGAAAAAATATCTTTGTTTCTCTACATAGTCTCCTTTTAGCTAAATACACTTTTCCCAACGATGTTCAATAGCTTCGATACCCTGTTTATAGTGGGAATCGTCGAGCTCCTCAAAATAGCCATCAAGCCACCTTGGTCCATTGTTTTGACTGTTCCTTCGTCTCAGGTGTAAAATGATGGACCCATGTTTCACCCATGGTTATGAATCGACGCAAAAACTCGGCTTTATTGCTGCGAAACTTCGCCAAACACTCGATTGAAACATCCTCACGACGCTGTTTTTGTTCCAATCGCGGCATCCATCTTGCGCACAGCTTTCTCATGTCCAAATTTCCAGTCAATATACGATGTACAGCACTTTTTGAAATGCCTACCATGTCTGCTAACTCGCGTACTTTCAGTCGACGGTCATCCAATACCATTTTGTGGATTTTCTTCACCATTTCTGGCGTGGTCACCTCATTTGGTCGACCACTGCGATATTCGTCTTGGCAGCTCGTACGGCCTCGTTTAAACTCTGCCACCCAATATTTTACTGTTGTAAACGAAGAAGCAGACTCCCCCAGAGTAGAATCTAGCTCCGTTTTGATATTGGTTGGACTGAGGCCTTTCAAATGAAAGTATTGTATCACATAACGATGACCAATTTTTTCCATGTTTACAAATTCACTGAGAGCGTTCATTATTGATGGCTGCCAAACAAATACTAAACAATGTAGCGTCGTCAAACTTAAGCTTTATAAGGTTGGTACTTTCTACTATAGTCATTCTTTTCAAACAACAACCGCTATCTATACGTCAGGTCAGGTACTTCTGGGACTACCCTCGTATTAATCACGTAAGTTTGACAGTAAACAACTTTAGGAAAATAGTATATATATCATGTCAAAATATTCATCACCAAAATATATGATATCGATAACTCTACATATTATGTAATTATTAATTATTTATGCTTATAATATATATTTAATTTGCTATATATATATTTAATTTGCTAATGCAGATATATATATATATATATTTGCATTCAATGTTCACATGATTTACGTAGTCATACATATTACTTTTGACAGTCTATAGGATAGAGTGAGAGAGGTTTGATGTCATGCAACATTCTCACTCTGTCGTAAACTGCCAACTTCCGGCTTCATCTCCCTCGAGGGAATGTTTGGTCTAGTTATATACGTCGTTGCAAAGAACCTTATGGGCTAGAACCTTATCAGAAACCTCACAAGCTTCTACGAATATTTATTGCAGAATTAAGCCAACGAAATATCATCGAATACCTGCAACAAATCGGCTCCAGGAGGTCCGACGTACACTTTCACGTGAATGTCTACAGGATCATTTTTAACAGGGTAAAGCGCGATCTCCAATTCGCCCTGTGGGCGATTGGGATGCGTCACCAATGTTTCGCCCTCGAAAACACCTTCAGCGAATACTATAGCGCAATGAACCTGGATGAAACTATCATTAGGCATTTGCAAAAAATCTCATGTTTTTAATTATAAATTTTAACTATAAATACAACGCATTACCAAAAGTCCAGGTCCAGCAGCAAGAGCAATGCGGGCCGCGCCTCTTTTCGTTAGCAAGCTGATCGCCAGTCTGGAGCCATGATACATATTGGAACCCATCGCGATTCTTTGACGTAATTCCATTTGGAGCGCTTGCTTCTTGGCCAATAATTCACGTACTACCTCGCCAGGCTCTGAAGCCTGCATTGCGGAGCCAGCACTGTATCCACGTACTGGAAAGTAACGCAGCAAGTAAGAGAATTAAACTTGAATACACAGGGTGTCCGGGATCTTTTGGAAACAAAAAATTATGAAGATTAATCAGATCAAACTGAGAAGAAACGTCAAGTACTATTTTGCAAAAATTGCAATAGTTATTGCAAACGTTATTAATGATTAAAAATTACATCTAAAAGTTCTTTTATTTGATAACTTAAAAATTTCTTATATGAAAAATGGTAAAGGACTTTTTTGTTTTTTATTTGTGACTATTGCGATTTTTGCAAAATGGTACATGATATTTCTTCTCAGTTTGATCTGATTAATTTTTACAATTTTTCATTTCAAAAGGATCATCATGTGTAACATGATGTTACTCTTAACTGCAAATATATAATGTGACAATTTATATACACGTATCATCAATCATGAAGGTCGATCTGACAAATCGTCGTCCTTTTTTTTCTATGTTATCTCATTTCCATTGTGTTTATCGTCAGTTTAGTTATAGGTGTAATAAAAGCTTAATAACAAAGTAACTTCGAGGTCAGAATGATTATTTGAAATGTGTTTAAAATGCAAATAAAATTTATCAGTCACGTTTGTCGAACGCGAATCGTGAATAAACATGATGTAGCGGGATATATATTATGCAGGGGACGTCACTAGAGTTCGAACATAAAAATGATCGAAAAAGTCGTTTATTACAAAAAAATATAAAAATACAAAGAAATGCTAGACCAAACTAAGAAAAAAATCAACTACTATTTTGCAAAAATTACAATAGTTATCAAGTTATTAATTATTGAAAATGACCATGTCTAGAGGCTCTTTTAATTAATAATTTGAAAATTTGCATATTTATTTGCAAAATGATAAAGGACTTTTTTGCTCGAAGTTACCTAATTTACAATTATATGACAGCTATTGCGCCTAGCGATATGATATATACATATAAGTATACTGAACTTTAAATCCTGAATTTTGAGCTTGTCGCTAGGCACAATAGCTGTCATATAACTGTAGATTTTGCAAATAAATAGCAGCAAGTATGCAAATTTTCAGTATGCAAGTTTTCCTTAAATATCTCAAAATATATTAAGCAAATAAAAAACTGTTTCAGACAAAAGTTGTTTAAATTAATTGGTAGAAAAAGATGATATAATAAAAAACCTGGGATTTCCATTTAAGAAAATTGATAATCAGTGAATATCTCGAAAGTGGCGCCATCTATAAACAAAATGCTATCGCTGTCCTATGTCCCTCTTTAAGCTAAACAACTTTTGTCTTAAGCAGTTTTCGATTTAACGCAGTGTTTCTAAGATATTTGAATAGGTACTTTGAAATGGGACACCCTGTATGTAATGAATTCAGTAAAAACTTCACATTAATAAACATGACCGATCTTACAATTCCATCGCTTGCGTCATAGTAGTTACGTCACATACTATAAAAATAGATACAAACTGCTCATAAATAAAAGTTTAATAACAAGTTACGTCGAAGTAAGAATTGTTATTTGAAGTAAAAAGCCACGTTGTCAGTCATTTTTGTCGAACGCAAATCGTAAATGTGATATGGAGGAGTACATGTTACATGTAGCAACAGTATATAGCAACAGTACAGGAGGTGGTATCATAAGAGTTTGAGTAGTTCAGTCCGTTCCATTGTTTCACGACATAACTACAAGTTTGTATGTATATATTGTTATGTTTAAAATTTCCTTCAATTATTATATTCCTTAAATTATTCTATCAATTAATATTTTTAATTCTTTAACATTAATTCTTTCAATTAATATATTTTTCATATTTCTTTGCTTATTTGTTTACTGTTCAATTCTATTCATTTTGTTACAGTATTGTAAGAAAATATTTCTTAATCGTTTATAATATTATATCATCTTTGTGGAACAGCAGCATAATATATATATCAAAAAATTTTGTCTGTATATTACAATGTTATTTTGTTTGTATATCACAATGTTATTTTGTTGAATTGGTTATCTGTTGATGCACATGTTTCACAAAGTTTATGGATTCACATTGATAAAAACGCATTTTTTTGCTGGGTATCTTTTTATACATGTTTAATATGCTTTTGCTTCAAATTTAGTACCTTTTTATTGTAAAGTTACATGTCCACAATAGCCTTATGCATCTTGCAGTTATCTCCAATGTAATTTGTATATCTTACGTCTTACTATTCAATGGATTGAACATTTTCTTTACTGCCTCAATTTCTATTCCTCCTGCTGAACCATAATTGGCTAAGCATTTTGCCTCGTTATCCTCAATCCATATTCCAAACTATATCTAACTATCTATCTAACTACCTATCTACATGTATGTCAAACTATCATTCATGCGTTTTTTTGCACATTTGCAAACGAATTGAATTTGGAAATTGCATTTGATAATGAAATCAATAACCTTGCTGATATATTTGCCAGTCAACGTTGTCATTCCAAATAAAGAGTTAAAAAACCTTTTCTCTTCCATGAGCCGTAACATGAGACTATCAAATTCATCAACAGTCTATTATGCAAAGAATTCGCTTCTTTTTCTTCTTCAACTGCCCTTTTCGTCAATAAATTAAAAACATTATATACGTAGTGTGCAGAGTTTGCAAGGCAGAATTATAAGCATTGATTGATTATCCTTAGCACAGATCCATGAATCCACAGAAAAAATTCAAATCTTCTTTCAAGATACTTAACAATCTCATTACCATGACAAATCGGTGATTAAAACAAAGGTTTGGTTATTGGTTTGATTGATTCTTGGGCATGAATCTATGATTTTCACGCCGCAAATGCAAATGATCGCGAAGATCATGCAAGTGAATTTTGAAACCAAGGTCGCAATGTCCACTTTCACCAAACTATACATCCTTCTTGCACTCTTAACACATTACCATCTGCGAAATTACCAGAAAAATTTACGAAGCGATAGCCGTGAAAAGCGGCAATGCTAAACGCATCTTCGCTCAAATACATTTCTATTGCTAACGTTCTCACAAACTCTGTTTTATCCTCGATGGTGTTCTAGTTATATTTTGTATCTTCTTGATCCATCTATCTTTAGATTACGCATCCGTACGGGCTGAGATTCGAACAACCATTGAACGACAAATGACAAGATGTCTTCTAAACTTCGTGCATGCACCTAGCTACTTCGAATACGTTATTGCATATTAAAACCAGTTTCAGTATTGACAAATTTTCCTGAGCTTTTTTATTTTTCTAAGGTTCGTATGTACGTTCCTACAGCTATTATGCAAAACTTATAACGAAACTTTGAAAGGTCTGGCGAATGCTCTGATTTTAATCTATGTGTACGTTGCTTTGAACAATAGGCTGTAACTTCCGTAATTTTTCGAATTTTTCGATGCAAATTTAAGAATAGATTTTTAAAAGTATATATTTTCAAAACATGCAAAAAACTGAATTTGTTGACCTTAGAGGGAAGACTATTTCCTTAATACTTTTGAAAAATCAAATATATTCTTTAACCTCTTGTTGTATGTTTTATTTTTAATGAATATATTCACAATAATTTTATGAAATACTAAACTATTATACTAAACTATTATACATTGTAGGAAAAAAATAATGTAATAAATAGCCATAGTAAGGTAAGTTACTATTGAAAAGTAATACGTTACGTAAAACATTTTGTTAATTTGAGAATTTTGAAATTTCCAAAGGTTTATAAGTGAACAAAAGTTAGGGCTATTATAACGATATATGTATTTTTGAGATTAAATAAAGTAAAAAAGTCTAGTACTATTTTTTTTTTCGACAAATAGCGAGATATTGTAAGTTCAATATTGAAAAAGTTACCAAGTTTTCCTTAAATATCTCAAAAAATATTAAACAATAAAATTCCTAACAATAAAACAATAAAACAATAAAACAATAAAATTGCCTTTCAGGCAAAAGTTGTTAAAATTAACTGATAGGAAAAGATGATATAATAAAAAATTGGGATTTGCATTTAAGAAAATTAGTGATCAGTGAATATTTCGAAAGTAGCGCCATCTGTAAACAAAATGCTATCGCTATCTTATATCCCCCTTCGAACCAAACTACTTTTGTCTCAAACATTTTTCGATCTAACGCAGTTTCTGAGATATTTGAGTAGATCTTTTAAAAAGGGGCACCATGCATATATTCTATATCGTGTTATTACTACTGTTATTAATGAAAAAAATTGTTACTAAGTCGTCACTGAGAAAAAGTTACTCGTGACAGTAACAGCAAAGTAAGTAACGTGTTATTTCCCAACTTTGTCTTTAATATTATCCAATTTATTTTATTGTATTATACATAGTGTTTCAGAAGGAATTGTAAATATTTTAGGAGAATATGGACTATTTCGAATAAAAAAGTTCATATAAACATGTGTCCAATTTTCAATAGGTGTGGTGATACGACTGTTTGAATGTTACTTATAAAAAGCCGCACAAAAGGTATTAAGGAAACATATAATATTTATTTATTGCATTTATTGATGATTTTGAAAAATTTTGAAAAATGGCACATGAATAATTTGCAACAGTTCAAAGTAATTATTAAAAAATTCTACCACAATTCACTTCTGTACATTTTTCAACTCTCTTGGCAATAGTATGTGTAGCTCTTCTGAGGTCTTAGCGTTCTTTTATGAGAGCAGCATTTGTTGCTCTCATAAATAATGTGAACCATCAATTCGTTTTTTATATTTATTTCATTTATATAGACTTCATTTTTCAGTCACTCCCACAGGTAATAATATAAAGAAGTAAGGTCTAGTAATTTCGGTGGCCAATGAACGTGACCTCCACGAGTCTTTAAACGACGAGTCCTCAGTGGAATTTTTCAACAATTACTTTAAACTGTTGCGAATTATTCATGTTTTATATCATTTAAATAAATGCAATCAATAAATCATTTGTTTTTGCTTAATACCTTTTGTAAGATTCTTTTATTAACATTCAAACAGCTGTATCTCCACACCCATTGAAAATTGAATACATATAGGAATTCATGTAGTTTACATGAACTATTTTACTCGAAATAATTTGTACTACCACCTAGAATATCTACAATTCTTCTTGAAACACCCTGCATAATTGTATATATATGTTGCACAAAATGGATATCGCATTTTCCAATAGCATTATATGCAATATTGGTTTACTTGGTAAATAAATTAAAATCAAAATGATAATCACTGTTATATCTTATAGCAACAAAAGCAATAGTCTCTGTTAATAATCTCTAAGATTATTATTAAATTCATACCTTCACCATTAATGGAAACCACTACCAAATCAGGTTTACCCGTTCTTCGATAATCGGCTTCTACTATACCCGCTACACCAAAAGACAATTGTATTTTAAATATGACTTCGCCGGTATTATATATTCTTGTGTCCACTTTTCCAGTACTCCAACCGGTGATGAGTTCTGGTACTCCATCGCCGTTAATATCGAAAGTTCCTATAGACACAACTTTGTGCTTCGACTGTAAAACAGATTTCAAAAATCCAATTGTTTCAAATCAAATCCCAAAGTGTTAGCAATATGCTAACAGACAGATTGGCAGCAGAAATTGAATAAGATTTGGGATATGTTTTATTTAAATATTTAAATGGTCTTAGAAAGATAAATCTTGTTCAGTCTCTACTGTAAATCCGTCAGCAAACTACTGATAAAATTTGCAGCAAATATTCTAAAATACAAAGTCTATTTTTGCAGATTTGGCTATCTATTAGATCGTTAAATATGAAATGTCCGATTTCCTTAAGGGGGAACACCACTGTGACGGGCCCAAAAAGGTACCTTTTCACGAATATTTTTTAACATTTAATGAATTATTTAAGGATTGAGGAAAGAATATGTTATTAAGAACACTTTGAAGTAATTTTATACAAATTTTTATTAAAAAATAATAAAAATTGACAAAGATGTATACAACAAAATGCCGGTCCGTAAAAAATTCTGCTTTCAACGGTGGAATCGATATCTCTAGCATAAAAAAAAATCAAATATTTTCTTAATCTGCATAAATGTAGTTTTCACGAAGTGTAACCGTTTTTTTTTTAATTAATTTTTTTCAAAATAGCGGCATGTTAAAAAAACCTCGACTTTTCCCAAATTTTTTCTTCACTCAAAGGGTTTTAAAAAATAGTAATTTTCAAATTAAAAAAACGGCTACGCTTAACGTTAGCCACTGTGATTACAAAAATTTTCGATAAAAAATGTTTACGATCGGACTATTAGTGTCCGAGTTATCGATAATATCAGTTCAGAAAAAGTCGTTTCGAGAAAAACGCGATTGAAAGTACATGTTTTGTTCATAAAAAATAAAAACTTTTTACTTATTAAATTTCATGAATTCCGTGCTCATAAGATTCTCCCCTATCATCATTCTTGCAGTTTTTCAATTTTTATGGCTATTATTGTTAGCGCGTCTCTCGGCGGTGCGCACATGGCTCTCATTCCGCTTAGTACAATAGGCGTGTAGAGTCAATCCAATTTCAATGCCAAGTAGCTCTAGTATTTTCAATGTTGCCCGTGTATCCTCGTTAAAGATTATTATTGAAACAAGGTAATTTCGACAACGATAGCATAGCTTGGATTTGATTTTAGTGCTAGTTGCCACGCTAATGAATTGAAACATTCATTATTGTTTTGTGTAAATCTATCGGCGTATCTCTTCAATAATTCTTCCTTCGATTTCGTCTTCATAAATAGCAAGAATGGCTTCAGCAACATCTTCAGGAAGTGGTGGTTTATTGACGAATATATTATGTATGTTTGATACTAATTGACATTAAATTTTGACCGTTAGAAGGTTCTAGCAAGATTTTTGTTGCATTATAAGTCATTATAAGTCAACATAAAGGGAATTTGACAAAAGAGAGGAGACTGAAATTCCCCCGAACAAAACAGGTACTCAACCTGTACGGTCAGCTGGGACCGGCTGTACTACCTGCTCCCACTTAAAAAGCTATAACTTCATCATTTTTGCGAATTTTGACATAAAAATTTGTAGACATATTCTTGAAAGTATGTACTTTAAATGTACTTTAAATGTACTTTAAATGTACTTAAATGTACTTTAAAAAGATGCCATAAGAAAAAAATCGATTTTTTTGACCTTTCATAGTGATGTTCCCCCTTAAGTTACTAAGTTCGATAGTCGATATCTCAGACATTTCATTTTTATAGATCTTGGTTTTTTTGTTGTGAAGGTACATCATCACTTTCAAACACATGTTTTGGTTTATAATTATCTTTCGAGTTGTCTTTATTACAACAATTTTTGTATAACCATGGGTAAGTCAAAAGTTCGTGTTATTTTCGAATATGAGTTTTGTCGTGAAACCAATGCAACGCAGACAACTCGAAATATCAATGAAGTGTTTGGTGAAGATGGGGCTAATGAACATACAGTACGCCGATAGTTCGAGAAGTTTCGTTCTAGCGATTTTAATCTTGAAAATGAGTTACGTGGGAGACCTAAAACTGAAGTGGATAATGAAAGCTGAAAACTATAAACTGTAAACTGAAAACTGGAAGCGGATATATCTCAAACTACAAATTAGCAATAAGGTTTAATTCCAACTTACTATTCCAACAATATTGAATCCTACAATATTGGATCATTTGAAACAAATCAGCAAGGTAAAGAAGTTAAAGAGTTCTATATGAATTAAACGAGCGTCAGAAGAGAAATCGTCTATAAGCTTGCCTTTCTTTATTATCACGATATAAAGGCGAACCATTTTTACATCGTATTGTTATGTGTGATGAAAAATGGATTCTTTTTGACATTCGCAAGCGTTTGGCACAATTGTTGGATACAGATGAAATACCAAAACATAGTCCGAAACCGAATATTCACAAAAGAAAGCTAATGATGTCTGTTTGGTGGTCCAGCGCTGATATTATTCACTATAGCTTCATGAAACTTAGTCAATCAATTACAGCGCATGTCCATTGCAACTGGACGAAATGATGAGGATGCTTGCAATTAAGCAGCCGAGATTGGTCAGTAAAGACAGGCCAATCCTCTTGCAAGACAACGCTCGACCACATGTCGCACAAACAATGTTGTTCAAATTACAGGAGCTAGACTTGGAAACTTTCTGTCACCCATCAAGGTATTTACCAGACCTTATACGTACTGACTACCATTTCTTCCAGGCACTGGACCACTTCTTGCAACGAAAAATATTCAATTTTCAACAAGCTGTGGAGACGCTTTCAACGCTTTTCGCGATTTCATCGTCACCCGTTTCTCAGGCTTTTTCGCTGCTGTTATAAATAAGCTACCGTTAAGATAGCAGAATTGTGTTGATAATTTAAGTGCATACTTTGATTAATTATACTATTTCTAGTTTGAGATATAATAAACCAAACTTTTAATTCGAAATCAAACTTTTCATATTTAATGACCTAATAGGATATCTGCATATATAGTTGCGGAATGTTAGTAGAAAATTATTGGAGGATTAGAAATTGAAAATAAAAGAAAGAATTACAAACAAAAAAATTTAATAATAATAAAGTGATGAAATATGGATACGAAAGATGAATATGACTTGCACTTGCGTCGATGATATGCAATATGGTACGCGATACGAAATATGGTTGCTTAAATGATTTACTTCAGTTATTCATAGAAGCATTATATTGGAAAGAATTGATCCATAATGGACGTGCGAATAGCATCGAGTAGAAATGTCAAATTAAAATTTACATGCACGATTTTGAGATATAAGTGAAATTTGACCTTAACTCGCCATAATCTTTGTCCTGCTTCATAGACACCAATAGTGCCATTTTCAACCGCATAAGCAAACTGCCTGTTCGGTAGATCGGTCAGAGCGACGATCGCCGCTGTTTCTTTAGTCTCCCAAAGCATCACATCCTCCTTTTGTACTTTGATTTCATAATCTGTCGTACCAGTCAGTAACTACGAAGTTAAAGCATTAGCTCGCAGGTAGACCTTCAAAATACTACCCAAGGGAGATGCATACATGCAATAACGCGTATAATAACATTCACCTCATTTTCTCCGTCGCCATCGAAATCAAATACTGCTAATGAAGTGACAATGCCTCCCATTACCGTCCAAAATATTTCCGTTCCTTGCACATCTAAAATTGTCACCGAACAATTGCCACCTACTACGACAACCTGATGCGGTAACCAGCCAACTTTAGCGATAATCATGCAATTAGCGCCGTCGGACATCTGAAATAATTAGAATCAGAAAAGAGAGCTTGCTATATTGCATACTTTCAAGCTACGGTTAATACCTCTTTGTAAAAGACATCAGCGTTGTCTTCAATGTGATAAGCAAGCACATGAGTAATGGTCCCGACCAAAAGAATGTCCCTCTCATCTTCCCCAAGACGGCCGGTACATATTGACTTCACCTAAGTGTAATTCTTCGTGAATAAAAGATACAAAAGGGAAATATAAACTAATGTTGTCGACTAATTGCAAACGATTATAGAGACCAACATAATAGTCCTAGCACACGTTATATTAAGAGCACCTCATCATGTAATCAAGTAATCAAGTATTCTTAAAAATTGATCACATTTAAAAGTCTTAAACTTTAGACATAGATAAAAATTTTATGTTTTAATAAATGATATAATAAATTGAACGCTCCACTCATAAATATAATACAAAGAAAATGTTATTAACATATTACACACAAATCAAGCAAAGAAACTGATAAAAGTTTTTTGTAAATACTTGATTATAAATACCGCTAATATTAAGTCACGATCGCTATAGTCTTCGAAATACACTAACGAGAAGTAATCACGGACTTGCCGAATTGGAGAACCTCAGGTTATATTTCTCCATATGTTTACTCAATCATCACTTTAGTTTAAGGCAATCTTCTAAATTATTGTTTATGGGTATTCTTAATAACATAATACAAATTATAACAATAATAAAATAACGCAACACAAGTTATATTTTTTACAACTTTCAATGAAAAAATATATATTTTATGTATTAGAGTATAACTTCATGTGTGAAAACTACTGTGTTGATCTGTGCATACATCTTTCGTGAAACTGAATAACTCATGAAATTTTAATTCTGACAAATTCAGACCTCGGTACCGATTTGAAGCTCCGCCAGCTCTCCACTCCACGATAATCTCTTATTGGATTGTTTATCGTCGGAGAAATTAATCTGCGGTTGTCTGTGGGGACTGTGCACCAAAATTGTACCGCCAGGCGTGGCAGCCGCGAGACATGCGTGAGACCCATCGAATTTTCCACTCACAACGAGACCCGCTTTTATGTGTTTCTGTATGTTTAACGAAAACTCTGCCATTCTGCTAGGTTACTACAGTAAGCTTTCACTAATGTTGTGCCACTACCACTGGCATGGTGATGGATTATTGATTTTCTACAGCTATAATACCATGTATTGTCATTTCGTCATATATAGAGTAAGTCTATTCAACGTGTTTAAAAGTGAACAATTTTAAAATGGGAAGAAATTAAATTAAACAACTAAATTTTTATCGATACGATAGATACAGTTTATGCTTGCGTCGAAAAATGCGATTACTCAAGTGATTTACATAAACTATTTATTTAGATTGTTTATTTTATCAGAAGTGTAATTATCATAGCAATACTTATAATTATTATTAATAATATTATTATATCACTATCTGATTATGAAATTATACTATAAATTTTGACAACTTCCATAAGATCACCCTTTGACATTGGGACATAATGCACATGCAGGTACAATGAAATTATTTCTATTAGCAAATCATTGTCTTTGTGCACTTGCCCCTGCACCAGCTTCTGGATTCGTTGCAGATGACAGAAGTAGAAAGATCAACGCTGGTACAATATATAGCCACTAAAAAGAAAAAAAGAAAAACATGGATATTTTGTTAATACATATTGTAATAGGTATTAATAGCTATTTATAATATAATTATAATTATAGTTATATAGTTATATAGCTATGTTAGTTACTATAAAATTATCAATTAAATAAAATTTATTTAATCTGGCAATCACTCGATATATAAACTATGTATAAATAAACCAATGGGAAAGTACTTACATATTTTGCAAGAAATGAACGATTATCTTTGGTCTCTCCTCTCTCTCTGGCTTCTCGTTCTCGTTCAAGCTTCTGAATGTACGTAGCTGTATCTGGAACTGGACCACCATCTGGATATCTGACTATGACATTGGTGGTCCACATATTTGTAAAAGGATTATCAAATATACAAGGACCTGAAGATGATATGCTCACAGCCACTGGCTCAGCTGCACTGTCCAACCATATCGTTATAATGTCTTCTAAATCGGAACCAAGCAGGTAGCACTATAAATTAAGTAGTATAATATATATCTGTATGTTATGAAGGCTAATATATTATTGAGCAAAATAAACGTCTAAGAACCATCTGAGCTCTATTGACAATCCTGAGCCAAAAGCTCGTTTTCAGAAATTTATCTATCCAATGTGTATTACCGCTGGGACAGACGTGAGGAATGTGATCTCACTCCCGGAAGAGGTTCGCGCTAATGCCTTCAGTCTGTACTTGCCGTCGTTCTTGGCAAGAGTTTTTAATGCGTTTATCTCAGCGGGCAACAGGCCATTCTGTCCGACAACGGACGCGCCACTACGCACGCTGGACACGGTGATGTTGCCGCGCTCCGTAAACATGGCTATCGGATCATCATTGAACGCATGCCATAACCTCAATTGCAGCCAGCCGTCGTAGTCGAGCTCGCTCTGCAATTTGATTTTCGTGAGTACCAATGCGACATGCACGTACATTCAAGTTGTTGGAGTAATCTCGATAATTATCGCGATTACATCAATCCAACAGAATACTAACCCCGTGAACAAATGAAAACACACAGAGCAGCGTGCTGACGACGAAATGCGACAGATACATTTTACTGCGACACGTGATAACGAGAGTAATGCCAAGGGTAATTACGATGTCATCGACATAAGGCCACGTCTCATCGTACGATACTAATTATCGAGTTGGCGTTATTTGCTGTCGTGCTCATGCTAAATCGCAGACACACAACTTCACAACGCTGACTGACAGACGCACGACTTCAACAAGGTGACTGAGGTGACGTTGACATAAAGCGACTCCTAAGACCACCTACGTCCTACTAGAGAGGAACGTGAGAGCGGCCAACACGGTGTTTTCGACGACACCGACTTTCCGCACTGGGAAAGGGCGCCATCTGTATCCATTTTGAGAGGGGAACTACGATGCTACATCCACTTTCAGGTTTCGGCGGTAAAATCTGTATGTGGTGGCAGTCCGTGCTACATCCATTTTTAGGCGGCTTATATCCGTGCTACAACCATAATAGCATACTTGACAAGCATGGCTCGCACATTGTTACGCGTTTATAACATGAATTAACATGTTAACATGTGCAAAAAAAAAAGAATTGACATTGTATGATTAATATCATAAAGATCATACGAAGTGTCCGGTAATTAGCTGCCAACCCGAAGTGTGAGGGTAGGTTGGGTTAAGACAAATATAAAAGTCCCATACCATTTTGCGAGATTCGCAATAATTATTAATGACAGAAATCTGAGGAGTAAAAGCGCGCCGACATAGATGATTCGAAAAGCGTTGCAGGTGCTCGGGGCAGCGATCATGAATCTTTTCCCTAGCGTGAACTAATAAAAAGTGAAAGACTTCTGTGAATCAGTGAAAAATGAAAAATTTTATATGAATTTGTGAAAATCGAAACATTTCACACGACAATTGAGTCGTTCAACATGGCAGTTGCGCGTTCTGGATAATTCAATGAATACCAAAGAAATAAAAATGATCAAAATAATAATGTACGTGTAGTCCAAAGGATATTACGTGACGCAAAATCCGTTTGATATAATATCCAAAGAAAATGTTTCAAAATATGTATCTACGGGTAATATAAACCTTATGCACCGACGAGATATATTACAAAGACTGATGGCCTTACGGGATTTAGCGTACCAGAGAAATTTCCCTGGTGAGGCATCTGGGCGAAAGAGACCGTCTCGGTAAAATTTAGCGCAGTAAAATTTAGCGCAGTAAAATTTAATGGGAACTAATACTTTTCAATCCTTTGCTTCGGAGCAAAAAAATTCAGAATTCAGACATATTCAAAATGTCAATACTTTTTAATATGTTTCAATTCGACATTTTATACAGGGAAGCAGGACAAAGGGAATGGGATGCGGGCAACGATACATCATGCATCTCCAGACGTGTCAAATCGTTTATTATAGAGGAGACTTTGATACGGCAATATATATTCGAATATTTAATCGTCCTATGAACCACTTATATATAATAAAAAAAAAATAAAAATTAACGCGGATAAATGGACGATTTATATCAATTTTTCCTTTTCTTATAGAGCAATGAAAGAGTAAATCAGTATCGAAAATCGAATACCGATTAATACCATAAATCAGTGTCAGAAAATTGTCGAATGACAATTTGTCCTCATTTTTCAGGTAGTTATCGCTGTAATTTACACAACAAATTAACTCGGTTAAACGAACGATTCGTACCAATTTTTTTTCTCTCATAAAGAAATGAGAAAATAAATCAGTACCGAAAATCGAAGGCCGATCAATACCTAATTTACTCATCAAATTAACGCGGATTAATGGACGATTCGTATTAATTATCTGTTTTCTTATAGAGAAATGAAAGACTAAATCAGTACCGAAAATCGAATATCGTTTAATACCATAAATCAGTGTCAAAAAATTGCACACGTGCAATGACAATTTGTTCTTATTTTTCAGGTACATACCCCACTAATATTATTCAACAAATTAATTCAGATAAACGAACGATTCGTATCAATTTTTTTGTCTTATAAAAAGATGAGAAAATAAATCAATACCGAAAACCGAAGACTGATCAATACCATAAATCAATGTCAAGAAAATTGTCCAAGTGCAATGACAAGTTGTTTTCATCTTGCAGGTACTTACCCCACTAAATTACTCAACAAATTAAGTCGGATAAAAGAACGATTCGTATCAACTTTTATTCTCTTATAAAGAAATTAGAGAATCAGTCAGTACTGAAAATTGAAGACCGATCAATATTTAATTTAATCATCAAATTAACGCGAATAAATGAACGATTCGTATGAATTTTTTTTTATAGAGAAATGCAAGAGTAAATCGGTACCGAAAATCGAATATCGATCAATACCGTAAATCAGAGTCAGAAAATTGTCCAAGTATAATGACAATTTGTTCTCATTTTTCAGGTATTTATCCCTCTAATTTACTCAACAAATTAACTCGAATAAACGAATGATACGTATCAATTTTCTTGTCTTATAAAAAGATGAGAAAATAAATCAGTACCGAAAACCGAAGACTGATCAATACCATAAATCAATGTCAAGAAAATTGTCCAAGTGCAATGACAAGTTGTTTTCATCTTGCAGGTACTTACCCCACTAAATTACTCAACAAATTAAGTCGGATAAAAGAACGATTCGTATCAACTTTTATTCTCTTATAAAGAAATTAGAGAATCAGTCAGTACCGAAAATTGAAGACCGATCAATATTTAATTTAATCATCAAATTAACGCGAATAAATGAACGATTCGTATGAATTTTTTTTTATAGAGAAATGCAAGAGTAAATCGGTACCGAAAATCGAATATCGATCAATACCGTAAATCAGAGTCAGAAAATTGTCCAAGTATAATGACAATTTGTTCTCATTTTTCAGGTATTTATCCCTCTAATTTACTCAACAAATTAACTCGAATAAACGAATGATACGTATCAATTTTCTTGTCTTATAAAAAGATGAGAAAATAAATCAGTACCGAAAACCGAAGACTGATCAATACCATAAATCAATGTCAAGAAAATTGTCCAAGTGCAATGACAAGTTGTTTTCATCTTGCAGGTACTTACCCCACTAAATTACTCAACAAATTAAGTCGGATAAAAGAACGATTCGTATCAATTTTTATTCTCTTATAAAGAAATTAGAGAATCAGTCAGTACCGAAAATTGAAGACCAATCAATATTTAATTTATTCATCTAATTAACGATTCGGATAAATGAACGATTCGTATGAACTTTTTTTTCTTATAGAGAAATGAAAGAATAAATTAGCACCGAAAATCGAATATCGATTAATACTATAAATCAGTGTCAAAAAATTGCCCAAGTGCGATGACAATTTGTTTTCCTTTTTCAGGTACTTACCGCTCTAATCTTATTCAACAAATTAACTCGGATAAACGAACGATTCGTATCAATTTTTTTTGTCTTATAAAAAGATGAAAAAATAAATCAGTACCGGAAACCGAAGACTGATCAATACCATAAATCAATGTCAAGAAAATTGTCCAAGTGCAATGACAAGTTGTTTTCATCTTGCAAGTACTTAACCCACTAATTTACTCAACAAATTAAGTCGGATAAAAGAACGATTCGTAACAATTTTTATTCTCTTATAAAGAAATTAGAGAATCAGTCAGTACCGAAAATTGAAGACCGATCAATATTTAATTTATTCATCAAATTAACGCGGATAAATGAACGATTCGTATGAATTTTTTTTCTTATAGAGAAATGAAAGAGTAAATCGGTACCGAAAATCGAATATCGATCAATACCGTAAAACAGAGTCAGAAAATTGTCCAAGTACAATGACAATTTGTTCTCATTTTTCAGGTATTTATCCCTCTAATTTACTCAACAAATTAACTCGAATAAACGAATGATTAGTATCAATTTTCTTGTCTTATAAAGAAATGAGAGAATAAATCAGTACCGAAAATTGAAGACCGATCAATATTTAATTTATTTATCAAATTAACGCGGATAAATGAACGATTCGTATGAATTTTTTTTTTCTTATAGAGAAATGAAAAAATAAATTAGTACCGAAAATCGAATATCTATTAATACTATAAATCAGTGTCAACAAATTGTCCAAGTGCGATGACAATTTGTTCTCATTTTTCAGGTACTTACCGCTCTAATCTTATTCAACAAACTAACTCGGATAAAAGAACGATTCGTATGAATTTTTATTCTCTTATAAAGAAATTAGAGAATCAGTCATTACCGAAAATTGAAGACCGATCAATATTTAATTTATTCATCAAATTAACGCGGATAAATGAACGAGTCGTATCAATTTTTTTTTCTTGTAAAGAAATGACAGAGTAAATCAGTACCGAAAATCGAATATCGATCAATATCAGAAATCAGTGTGAGAAGATTGTCCAAGTGCAATGACAATTCGTTCTCATTTTTCAGGTACTTACCCCCCTAATTTATTCAACAAATTAACTCGGATATATAAACGAACTCGGATATATAAACGAACGATTCGTATTAATTTTTTCTTCTCTTATAGAGAAATGAGAAAGTAAATCTGCACCGGAAATCGAATATCGAATACGATTAATATCGTAAATCAAAATTTATATTGCTGTTTAATTCCATCGTCGCAAAAGATTTGTCGTTTTCTCTATCCTAGTCCTAACTTGTAGAAAATTTGGTACTCATCTCTATTTGACAAAAGTACGTCGGATTTTCTGTACTAACTAATATAAAAAATTTTTTTTCATTCTTATTTTTTCTACATGTAATATTTTAATACCGAATCTGTCGAAATGAACCGGTCTGCAGAAATCCTGGCAAAACGTTTCTCTCTCTTTCTCGCTCTCCTCTCTCTTCGTCTCTGAATCGCCGCTAACGATCGAAAACCGCAAGCGGAAAGTAACGAAAATTTATTCATCCAACTAAAACGTTCTCCGTGTTATTTTTTAAGCGTTGGATAAATACCGATCCGGCGTTTTGTCAAATATCTGACAAAAGTATCTCCGTTTTTTTCTTGCCGACATTCAAATCGATAGTTTTCTACAAGTTAGGATAAAAAAAAAGTCTTTCTCGAGTCGAAATATTAATTCTACATTGGTCCTGCAAATTGCATCCAATTTGAAAAATCAATGCAGAATGTCTAGATGCGCAATAGTGAACAAGCTTTGTCCTACCTGAACGTTACATCTGGCTACTCTCGCAGTCTCGCCCATGATGAGTCTTCAACAGCGACGTATTCCGTAGTTATTTAATACTCGTTTATCTCGATAATGTATATGTACTTAATCCTTATATTCTTAATTTAAATGAGCAATTTTTGTTGATGTTGATTATATATTCGCTTAACAACGCAAGAAAGAGAACAAAGATAAAAACGTAAATAGAACTGCCTTTGTTAGAACTGCGCGTGAGATAAATATATAAGGATTAAATAACCATATAAGAATTAGAGGAAATGGGAGATGAAAAACACTTTTTATTCTCATCATTCTTAAAGTTCTTTTTTTCTTTTTGCTTCTCTTTTTTTTCTTTTCTTTTTTCTAATGAGAATGATGAGAATTGTAGCTCTCAAAAGAGCTGAAGCTGCAAAGGCAAAGACAACGGTTATGTCTAATAATGCTGTTTCACTAATAGAGATTTTAATTCAGATTCGGTACAATAAGAAAGATAAACAAGAATGAGAGACGGACATTCTAGCAAATTCTAAACGAAAACAGCAATCTGAGCATTATTAGACGAATAAAAATCAACACTTGTAAAATTTATATCAGATTCTATGATCATTATTCATAGTTTTCTAAATTATGTGCAACTTTTTATTGAGAACATAATTAAAAATTTGTATTCATAAATCTTAGCTTGCCTCAGCAACCTTGCTTGAATAGATATTCATATTTTATGAGAAAAGAAAAGTAGAACTCATGTTACGTGAAATTAGGTTAACGAATAATCAAATCTCAAGCTATTTTATCATTTTTTAGATAATAAACTATGAATGCTGATCTAATTTCGACTCGAGTATGTCCTTACTTCGAGTAAGGTCTGTTAAAATCAGAAAAATCCTGCGTAATAATAATGACTCGAGGTACCTCGAATACCATACATGATGTATCGCTGTCCACGTCTCTCGGCGCGCTCCAAGTCCTCTCTCCATCCTGACTTCTCGATCCGACGTCCTCCTCCTGGTTACTCCGTCGCAGCATCCCTGGATACTCCATCGTAGCACTGGCGACGACACTGACTTTAGCTCTAACACTCGCGCAAGTAAGATTCGGATAAAGAAACGCGTATTAACCGCGATACGACTACCGACACTCGTACTCTGCGTCGCGATATGCGCGTCGTTCGTCGGCCCGAGGCGCAATGTCTTTTACGCAATCATTGAGTCATACATAAGGGTACGAAACCAAACAATCGGGAAGGCACGGTTACCCCCCACCTTGCCGATCAGTGTTGATGCCTGCGTCGTCCGTTAGCTGAAAATGAAAACAACTCGTGTTTTCAAAGCATGCCTGTGAGAAACTCGCTTCAAACTTCACAATACTTATTTACGTCTGTTCCAAGAATCATATTACGCCGTATTCAAACTGTCTCTATTTTGACATGACATACACGAGATCTGCGATTGCATCATTGATCTTTCTTTGGACAAGAAAATCCTGAGAGGAATGCTGTTCAAGAATATCACATTTTATGTTCCAGGTGCCTTGCAAATTATCGAATCCGATGTAACAGATGAGGGAAAGTATGAATGCGTCGCTATGAATAACACCGGAGTACTCCAAGTCAATCATGTTATACGTGAAACGTACGTATATTTAATATTATATAAAACTTACCTTTTTAAACGAAAAGGTAAGAAAAAGGCGCCAAGTACAAGCGCAACATGTATTATGTTATTTTTAGAAGTCAAATTATTTTTTTTATTGTATATATTTGTGTACATAAGTTTTTACAAGTAAAACTTATAACTATAATAAAACTCTGCAACACTTTTCTACTGTACAAAAGAAGTAATATATTAGAACAGTAGCGCCAATTTATTAAGTTATTTGTTGAGTAAATTAGAGGGATAAATACCTGAAAAATGAGAACAAATCGTCATTGTACTTGGACAAATGCTGGATGAAAATACTGCGTTCTGATTGGTGCATTTCCATTCATCTTCGGAAATGTACCAATCAGAACGTAGTATTTTCATCCAGCAAGCAATCCAGCACGAAAACAAGCACCGTGTGCCGCTGGCTTAAGATAGCTAAAAGTTTGGACAATTGCACTTCCTGCACCTTTCATGTCTTATTTCTTGCTGCCTCACAAGACCAAATAGATATCTGTTTTCTTTTAAAAGTAGAAAGTGCACCTGAAATGTGCAAATCTTGGGTTTGTTCTTTGAGACAGCAATATTTTTTCTCATTCTAACTTATTGCACTAGTTCAGCAGTGCAGCTATAAAGAACAGACTCCTTGCCAACAAAAATATTTCAATTAAAATTTAATTTAATTAACCGGGCGATTATGTCAAATATTTATTTCTAAGTTTATTTCTATTCATAGCAACCTCAAGATGGCATTTGTCTCATCCTTTTAGGATTTGCAATGCATCATTAAATTGAATATTAAATTTTGTGACAAATATACAAATTGTCAAACACGATAATTTGTTTTCTAATGTTAATATTTGATATATGAAATTTTTCAAAGTTCGCTAATTAAGTCTTTATTTTTCAACATATTTTTAATAATAATATTTCTCTTATGATTTAAGATTAAGGTTTCTCTTATATAGAAATTTATCTTCAAATTGTAAAATAATATAGGTGATTCTTTGTCTCTTCAGAATAATTTGACAAATTAAAAATTCAATGCAAAACGAATAATTTTAATCTCTTGAATAAATGTAGATGCCTGATAGATAAGAAGAATGGAAAGAAGTAAAGTCAAAGATAGGCAGAGCGAATGAAACATGTATATCTATTGTTTATCTGTTTCTCTAAGAATGTGTTGAGATGAATAAATTTAACTCAGAAAAACATGCTAATAAGATAAGTAGCAAAGACGAACAAAAATAAAATAAAAAAAATAGAAACATGATCGAAAATTGATTCTTAGGATTCTTTAGGATTTACTATTCTTTAGGATTTACTATTCCTTTATTTTATTTAAGATTATTATGTTTTAAAGAATTTTTTTATACATTTCTTTTATTACTTATTTTTATCTTTTATTGTTATTATCATTTGTTATCTATTATTATCTATTATTATCTTTCTTACACTCATTCATTTATATTCATTTAGTTTCTTATTATTTATTTTATTAAAAATTGATAATTAAATTCTACCTAAAAAAATTAATTATATATAAAAAAACAGCAATTTTAAAATGCGATCGTTCTGCCGTGAATCATTTTATTATTGAGGATCCAGTGAAGGGAGAGACTGTGTTGTGTTGCGATCATAATAATTCAATTATTATTATTCGACTTTAAATGATACAACGATGTGCAATTTACACAACATCTTGTATAGATATTATAGGAATGCAATATACATATACCTTTTAGAAAGTTAAATGCTAAATATTATTAATTGCACAATAAAGCCACTTAATACGTGAAATTGATATTGAATTTAATTGGCTATATGTTTCCTCCGAGATCTTCTCAATACATCTCACAAAAAACATTGTGCTTAAACGTTTGTTCTTTTTTGCCTATCTGTTTATCGCATACGGCGCTTTATTGATGCGATATAAAGAATATGGCGTCTTGCGATATTTGTCTAAAATCCAGTTCTGATGCAGCAAGTCTTGTTTGATCAGTTTCGATCTCTCAGCTCCTTGTCGAAGATGTAAACTCCGAGGCCGTCTCCGACTCTCTCCAGGTTCGTCACATGATCGGCGATCTCTTTTATCGAGTCTACTTGCTCTTGTAGGAATTCAGTTTCTAAGAAATCCATCAAGTGCGGATCATTGTGCGTTGAAGCGAGCTCGTGCAACTGGAGCAAATGCTGCAACAGCGAAAAGTGAAAAGATGGATAAATTTGCATTAAATTTACACCAGCTTTATGTAAAATTAGTTAAATAACGCAAAAATTACATACACATGTGCAAAATACAAGTACACACGTATATGTGCAATGTTCGAAAAAAAAAAATCTGACTGGAGGAGCTGGGATTTGAACCCAGGACTTTCCGCATGCGAAGCGGACACTCTACCACTGAGTTACACCCCCAATTGCTAGAATGTTCTTTAAAGTTGTACTACCTGAACGAGTTAGCTTCATTGACAAAAATTATACTAATTATAATAATCCAGTTAACACGGTGATGTGATAGGCACGTCGAAAGGCACTTAACACAAACTCGAGAACTTGTGAATACTGCGCGCTAATCGAGGAAGTGAAAATTCCGACGCAAGATGAAAATTACGATCTATTCCGGTCTGAGTTTGGGTCGACGTCACGTAGTTAAAAAGTCGAATTCTTATCATTTCAGCGAAATGCTAATAATTCCGCCTTTTCCTTGTTTTTTTTTTCGTTTGTCACTGCGCTCCTCGACGGAATCGATTTGCGCGCAATGACCTCGCGCACGCACCTCATTCACTTTCCGCTCCAGCTGCAGAGCCTCCATCATCGCGTTCTGCGCGCTTTGCCAGTCCGTCACCGGGTCCTTGATCGGCTGCAGAAAGATATTGCCTCCCCGCTTATTCTGATAAGCTAACAATTTCATGGCATGCTCGCGCTCCTCATCTGACGCTTTCTTGAAGTATTCAAAGAAGCCCGGCAAAGCGACATCGTTCCTATCGAAGTAGTACGCCTGTAATGAGACGCATATAGAGTATGTATGGAGGAAAGAGAGAGAGAGTATATGTGTGTGTGTATGTGTGTGAAAGAGAAAGAAAGAAAACAAGAGAGCGAAGGGTAGTAATATGTTTTCGCGATAATATATTCTTATTCTGGTGTCTATCGAGTACAGAATTAACTTTCCATGAGATTTTCGGAAAGTTTGTACGCGAGTGCTATATATTTCACTGACGATGGAATTTCGTCGTAACGAGTTCTAGAATGTTGTTTACTCGGTCAAGGCCAGATGAAAAGCGAGGGTGCCCAAGATGGGTGTGCAGGACAGAAAATCATAATGGCGTCGAGATGACTATGAAAATATCTTTTGATTATAATGATTGAAAATGTCTATTGATTATAAATAATCAATTTCTCGGAATTTTGATACAATTCTCTCACGCAATCGATTTCTTCTGTTCTGTCTAGATCCCCATCGCGAGGTATTGACTTCTGCGAAATTTAGGTTCCGCTTCGCACTGATTTTGCAAGAATGAAGTATATAGTTTTCAGGATAAGTAACATTTGCATCGACGCGAAGAACGATGGAAGCGATGTCGAAAAAAAGACAATAAAGATAGATAGGTAGGTAGGTAGGTAGGTAGATAGATAGATTAATCGATAGACAGCAGAAAGGTCGTACGTGTTACGAAACGCTGACCGATGGAGGAGTGTACAGGTGCATACGTAAGGGGTTGTGACGGTGGAACGGAGACAGGTTAAAAAAAGCGTGTCTAATCGATACGTCGACTGACCATAGACAGATAGGCATAACTGGCGTGTAGCTCCAGATTGATTTGCTTGTTTATCCGGTCCTCGTTCTCCTGGTGGAAGTTCTGCCGCACGTTCATGGTGTGTTATATTGATGGAGAAGAACGAGTGCGTGAATGAGCGTGTGAGACAAGGATAGGAGGGAAAAGAACAGGAAAGGTACGTAATTCGCACTGGACTATAGGAGAATATCACTGCGCGCAACGGCCGATCGATTACCGGACCCGAACTGATCCGAACACAGCGGCTCGAGCTCGTTCGTCTATCCGTTCGTTCGTTTCTTTTGCCAAGAGAAGAAATACACGAGCACGGTATCACCTAACGCGCACGAGCTTTCAAAACATTCTGCGAGCGACGTATAGTACGAGGAATAGTTAGCACGAGACTGCACGCAAGCGCGGGGCTACCCCGATCGACATTGCCAAGAAGAGCCTGCGGCCTTGGCCAGGGAAAAGTGCTGAACTGAAGGAAGGACCGGCAGGAATGGACCAGCAGCGACATGTCGCGAGGAAAGATGAAATCCGATAGATGAACAATTGATCGACGATCATTAATTGATCGGGTTACATTGATCTCGTTATGTTAATTTTCCCGAGGGTCTGGTAAACCGAAAATCGTACGTTCAATGAGAGACATTATCTTGAATAAATGTGAAGTTTCACGTAACTTTTGGTATTTCCACTCTGTTACTCCAGTTTCAGTTAGTTTAACGTTAGTTTTTACAACGTGTGGGGAGTGTTGCGCAACATGCATTAAGATATCGTTTGACAGATGACGTGTTATCGCGTTTCACGGTACTTGCAATATGGTTATCTGCGGTAATTCTGAACTATATGGCTATACATTTTCCGAACATGGTCAGTAGGGTAATGGATGTATTCTGAAATGTATACTGGTAGTCTATAGTATTGAAAACTGAAAAAGAAATCAGATAAAAATCAGATGAGGTCTCGGAGTTATGTACAATTTTTTTCGTATAAACTGCAATTGAATTATTTATAATAAAAATCGAGTTAAATCAGCAATTTGACAACTTAAATCAGCAATTTGATATTGGGATTTGAAATACAAAATTTAACCAATTGTAAGGACTATATTGATAACTTACTCACTTTGTTCTTATATAAACGAATTTCTATCAAAGAAATTCCGTTCAAAGACATACAATGAATACGCGGTTGTATTTATTGTTTCTCTTCTGTGCGAGACGTAAGCCATTGAATAAGTTATTGAATTGTTACGCGTGATCACTACAAATAGATGTGTAAACACGTTTGTCTCCTCGAAGGCTATTTACTTTTAGTTAATTTCTGTATAGCTTTTGCTTTTCCTACGACTAATAGTAAAGAAAAATTCTAAAATCAAATATAATTCAAACCATTTAAATTACTGAAATTATTTGAAATTTATTTAGAATTTAATTTAGAGTTAGATGGGAATTTTTTAGTTATATCGTGATTACAAATATATTTTCACATATATTAACTATTACTATACATTCCAAAATGTGCTGATAGTATTTACAATTTATAGTTCACATTACGTGATGTAAATCACGTTCATCATATATACTGTGGATTTTTAGTACTGTTAGTGCATTTCGGAATTCAACCATTATATAGGGTGTTCCATTTTAAATCCCCCAGGCAAATATCTCGAAAAATATGGAAGATACGGAAAAATATTTCCAACAAAAGTTGCATGGTTTCAAGGGGGACATAAAACAACTATATCAGTTTATTTACAGATGGCGCTACTTTAGAAATACTCACTGATCATTACTTTTCTTAAATGGAAACTCCAATTTTTTATCACATCATCTTTTTCTACCGATTAATTTTAGCAACTTTTATCTGGAACTTTTTTTATTTGCTTGATATTTTTTAAGGTATTTAAGGAAAACTTGATAACTTTTTCAATATTTAACTTATGATATCTCGCTAATTTATTGAAAATTGAAAAGAAAAATAGTACTAGACTTTTTTACTCTATTTAGTCTCAAGAATATATTGTTACAATAGCATCCTGATTTTTGTTAATTTGATGATTTTGAAATTTCCGAAAGTCGATAAGTTAACAAAAGTTAGGGTACTATTGTAATAATATATTCTTGAGATCAAATAGAGTAAAAAAGTCTAGTACAATTTTTTCTTCCGACAAACGCAAGATATCGTAATTTAAATATTGAAAAAGTTACCAAATTTTTCTTAAATATCCCAAAAAATATTAGGTAAATAAAAAAATATTTCAGACAAAAGTCGTCCAAATTAATTGGTAGAAAAAGATGATGTAATAAGAAATTGAAGTTTCCTTTTAAGAAAAATAATGATCAGTGAATATCTTGAAAATGGCGCCATCTGTAAACAAGTTGGTATACCAGGTAAATGTGAAACCAGAATTTGCCCATAGATGGCTCTAACTATCAATGTAGTTACCGTCAAACCGCATCATTGGCGCCATTTCCATTTGTTCACATCTGACAAAGATTTTCAACTCACAACAATACAAATTTTATACAACAGCATAGTTTGTAATAGCGTTGAACATGTCGAATTTTGTGCCTGGAAGCTACGATTTGCGGACAGCATTGATTTTCTGTTACCATTTGAAGAAAACTGCTGCAGAATCGCATTGAATGCTTGTCGAAGCTTACGGTGAGCATGCTCTTGGTAAATCACAGTGCTTTGAGTGGTTTAAAAAATTCAAACGTGGCGATTTTGACGTGAGAAACAAAGAACGTGGAAGACCACCGAAAAAGTTTGAAGATAGCGAATTGCAAGCATTGTTGGATGAGGAAGACGCTCAAACGCAACAATAACTCGCGGATCAATTAAATGTGACACGAGGAGCCGTCTCCATACGTTTGAAAGCCATGGGAAAGATGCAGAAGATGGGAAAATGGGTTCCACATGAACTGAATGAAAGACAGCAGGAAAACCGAAAAACCATTTGCGAAATGCTGCTCGCCAGGTACAAAAGAATAAACATGAGTTGTTCCTGACATATACATTTCAGATTTAATATTTTATTCTTGCAATATTATTAGATCACTTCGGTGAAATATTACAATTGTATGCTCTATAATAATAAGTATAATATTTTAGATATTACAGTGGTAAATTGCAATGTTGCAACGTTCCTGCAATGTAACTGGCAGCTTCTGTGCTGCATAGGACGTTTTTAAAATTCATTTTATAGCCTTCCGATATATCGATATTAATATATCGATATTAATAAATATGTTATCAGATATATTTATGATCCTCTGCCCTATATGTGCGGTTAAGTAAAACGAAATTTTACTACGATAATCAATTTTCATGGTTGACGATTTATGTACAACGATCGTTCTTCCTTTCCTCTCTCTTTTCCTTCTTCCTCTTTCTCTCTCTTTCATTTTACGGCTATAATGACGTCGCGACGTATTATGACTTGAACCGTTCCCAAATAATAGGGCCTGTTCGTTTTGTTTGCACTACTGAACTGGTGCAACAAGTTGAAGTGAGAAAACCTACGTTTGTCTCACTTTAACTTAATGCACCAGTTCAGCAGTGCATACAAAACGAACAGGCCTCATATTGGGAGAAAATAAAAGACGCAATAAGCGTTTTCGCGCGTTTCCTGCAAACTTTACGCGACACATCTGACTGAAAAATAACTCGCAATTTTTGTAGCCATGCTCCACGCTGGTGCGTTTTCTTCGGAAAAGACACAAAATCGGTGAAGCATAAATATCGCGTATGGGGTTATATTGTGAAAAATGCTACGAAACCGCGTGTTCCACAGGATCGTCGCATTATTTGCGCTGATATTTAAAATTTCAGCCACTAAACATTGGATCGTTACTGAAAATGGGAAAATTCAGCCGCAGGTATTCTTTTTTCTCTCAAATTGTCTTATATTTTAACCTCAAAATACGAGAATTTCCTACCGACAGATACTGTGAATCAATAATGATATATGAAAATATAAATTGTCATTCTACAGTTTCGACAATTTTTAGAAATTCAGAAAAATATGTTTTTTATGACTTTTCAAAAGGAACAAATTATACTACAAATTATATAAATATTAAAATATATCAGTTTCATGTATATTATTCTATGGTTAAGAATAAGCAGTAAATTACCTTTTAATGATTAGAAATAAATATATGATTGTAGTTGATTCTTATTTTGATTCTTTATTCATTTTATTCATGTATTCTTTCGTACTTTTATTCTTGTATATATATCTTAATATAACATTTTATTTAATATTATATCAACATATTTATATGTATGTTTATTAGTAAAGATTAGTAAATATTTATATTAGTAATAATTACTTGAATTAATTAACTAAATTAATATTCTATGACTGAAGATAAATATTAAATTATTTTTGTGTAACTCAGTAATATAGGTTATATTCTGATATTCACTGTTAGTACTAAATTCTATAGAATATATAATATAAACTATAGATTTTCAGTATTGGTAATAAATCGGAATACAGCCATAATTGTCTAATCAGTTAGATAGTTTACCTTTATCTTGATTTTTTATATATTATTTTGCATTCTTATTATTATTATATTATATTCTATATATATTTATGTATATATATATATATATCATATATAAAATAATTAAGTGTGTATGTGTGTATATATATATAAAATATACCTATTATGATCTTATGTCATATTCATGTTTCAGCATGACAGTGTTTTTGATATGCGTCGACCTTATGATCTCTTAGCATTTTTGGAACAGGAGAAACGCAGAGAAACAGCCAATGCCATATACAAGAGAATTTCAAGGAAAGAAGTATCCATTGATAATCAGTTTGCAGACTTAGATATAGCTGATACAGAAAGTTCAAATCTGGATTGTTTTTTATGGGATAAATCATTAGCTGATATTGATATATATGATAGCATAATGATTGATCTTAAACACAGAAATGGAATAAGGTAAATATTTCTGTATATAACAACATTATATGATAAAGATTAATTAAGATAATATAATAAATCAAAACGCTATATATAAAGTAATATATTGATATGACTTTAACGACATATTAAGTAATTGATGTGTACATCAAACTTTATTGTAGCAAGAAGGATTATACTTTATACAATAAAGGAGCCAATGGTAAACAAACAGAGCCAAATTGTCAAAAAACATTTCCACTAGATTTTAGTGTATATACATTTGAACACCTTAAAGTGAGTATTCTCTTTCATGATACAAATGAAACACAAATGTAAGATATAAATGTTATAAGATAAATATGATATAACAAGGTTATAATAGATATGATAAAATTATATAATCATATAATAATTATATAATCATATAATAAGAATAAAATTGACAGTGCATATTTATAAAATTTGCTTATTATATCCAGGCAATGCAAAATCGAAAAAATCTTACTCAACATGAAGAACCTAGCTTGATGAAGTACTTGCCACCAAATACTGATCTCAATCAATTTGGTTATCAGCTCACTAACAGTCTGTCTCGCAATAAAACATCTTGGATATACTTGAATCTGGCATCACTTTATTGGCGGATCAAAGGCAACGCTTATAATGCTCTAGAATGCAGCCGCAGAGCAATCGTACATGCTCCAAGGTAATAATTATAAGGAAATTGTTGAAAAGATATATTGATATGTTAATTATTGCAATGATATTAGAACTTATCTCCTAATCCTATTTTAAAGTCTCAACGTGTTTAATATTAGACATTTGTTATTCAGTAAAATTTTCAAAAAAGAAATGCAAGTTAATTCGTATGGAATATAATTCTTTTTTTTACGCCAATTACGAGATAACTCATATTTGATAGTCGGTGTGAATATCGATTAAGGAAAAAAAAATGTTGGATAGAAGCATTGCCTTAAGTTTGTATTGGCTGTAGCAGTATAGTTATAAGTCTGTCTAAGATGTAGTCATAAGAACCTTTCGATGTAGTAAACTATAATGTAAGATCATAAAATGAATTATTTTTATTTCTTATGTTTTATGGCTTATTTTTCACACCTTATATCGACCAATCAGAATAAAGCATCACATAAAAAGTGCAAAAATGTAGAATCATTAATATTATTAGTAGAATTACTATATAGAATTAATAGTATTACTCACTTTTATGAAATCGATATTCCTTATCTGAAAATAAAATAGGAAGAAGTTGATTTTCTGAAGAAGTATGAGGCGAGTGATGAACAAGATGATAGAATTTATAACTGTAGTCAAAGTCAATCCTTATTTATATAACAAATTAGACTATTATAGTAATAATAAAGTGAAATAGTAGGTGTGAACTGCTGTTAATGAAACTCAATTAATAAAATAAAAATAGTAATGAATACTATTTTTTTAAATCTATTTTTGAATGATTAAAAATATACATAATAAACAAATAATATAGCCATTGTTTTCAAAATTAAAGCTATAATTTTCTTTTTCTTAATTGGTCTGTTATAAGTTTTTTAATTTATGGTAAACAATGTTTTAAGTTAATTTAAGAATATTAAATTCTACGATCTTTCATCAAATGCCATGGACTTATAATGTTATTGTTACAACCATTATAGGTAGGTTTTTATGGCGTTCGGCCACGAATTCTGTCCTTGAGCCATTTTTTAACGAAAACATATGTGATTCGCAGGCAATATCGCGATATTCCACTTCTAACCACTGCTGGAATTTTGCACGCTGCGAGATATTCCGGCGAAGCCGCTATCGTTTTGCACATGGCGATAGACTATAATCCGTTGGAGAGTTATCACCATTTAGCATTGGGTCATGTGTACACATCTCTTGGCGATTTCGATCGATCCGCGGCGTGCTATGATAATTGTTTGAAATTGGCTCCTGAGACAACGGAGGCTAAGCAGATGAAATACGCTATACTGTGTCATCGTTTACTGGAAATGACATTATTATCATTCAATCAGTAAGTGAACATCACGCTTAGCGATTTATGGTTCAGAAAACTAATGGTGAACAAACGTGCGGACAGTATTTATCGTTAGGTTCGTCATAGGCGTTTACGAGATGTGCTGTCAGAGATACATGCATATCACGACTGGAAGGAGGAGTGGTTGAAGCTCTATGAGCATATGCTCTGGGAACAGAATATTAAGTCCACCACGAGAGAGATTAAACTCGCCTTTGCGCGTGAACAAAATCTACATTTGCTTGCTATAAATCCAATCGAAAAGTATATCAACCACGATCTCGGTAATAATGTCATACTATCTTATGTGGATGTGGGAGATAGAAAGAAGATAGCCGAGAATATGTTGCAGCACGTGCATCTAAATCTGCATGTACTGAAGAATCTGCAACAACCGGTGAAAGAACGCGATCGTACTACACAAGGTACTTTTGTAATTGACTTACGCTTGTGTTGGAAGTCTTATTTTTTGGAAATTCGTTATCGTTACTGTTACTTTTTTCGAGAAATGTTTTTTTTAAATAATGATAATATTACTCAAGAAGTAACAAGACATCACAATTTTTGTTACAATTTTTCTTATAAAATCTCTTTATGACGTATTCGACATAATTTTTTGAGTCATGAAATATGTAGTGATGTATAGTACATGATTTTATGTTTTATTTCATGTTTTCTGTGTATTTACTGTATTTCTGCATTGTTCATGCATATATTGTTTATTTACATTGTTTATATACATATTCTTAAGTTTTGAAAATTTTTTTTATAATCTATTGTCGCGCATTCCACGTACATATATATGTGGAAAATAACGAAAATAACGAGATTATTTTCCTTATGGTCACATTTATCAAATATAATCGTATTATATTTTTCATTGTAGTTACCAACAAAACAAAATAACATTTTTCTTAAGCCCATGAAAAAAGAAATAATTTGTAACATAGTAACATCATTACAAATAACACTTTACATTTTACTTTCGGGCTTAAACTATACTTTCGCATGTTGCGATTGATGAAGTTTATTTAAACCCTGCTTTTGCTGTATAGACATATTAATGGAACTAAATATGGAACATACTCATGCTTTCGCGACACCGACCAAGAGCCCAAAGTATCACGACGTAGAAATTAAGAAGGGAAACAAAGATTTCGAGGCTGATTATTGGCCGAGGATATCTGATTGCGACGGTTCTATGCTGACGTTCGGAGATGGAAAGCAATATTTGCCGATATATTTGTCTCCAGAAAATAAAGGCTATGCGTAAGTATAAATTCTTTTATAAACCTTTCGTGTATATTGGGTTTTAGTGTGGTGTAGACACTTTTTCTTAATGCTTGATTCGGAAAGCAGTTGATGTTGAATATGAGAACTTGTTTTTGATATTTCCTAGGAGTTTTTTTTTTAGATAATTTAGGTAATTTTTTTAGGTATCGATTGCGCCTCAAACTATATTGAGAAAAAAAATATTCAAACTGTATTGAAACTAAGTGTACAATATTTTTATGTGCGTAAGTTTTGTTATAAATTATCTAATGGAATGTATTTTTCTGTATGTCATCAGAATACATTTGTTCGTAAACGAATTGATCGATATAGAACCGGGAAAAAAACATCCACTGCCATGGCATCCACCCATATGCCAAGCGCCTAAGTTATTTGACGAAAAGTATATCACAGACTCATTACTGGACGCGACGACGCAGCAACATTCGTCGGACGCTTCTTTAAAATCATTCCTACATAGTTTGGTGCAAACTGCGGAATCGGCAGAGATTGGTCAGAGGATTTTGACAGCAATCGAGGCGGTGCGATTTCTTCTATTATTATACTGATCAGCTGTTATGTTTTGACTTGGGAAATATTGACTATGTATATGTGAATCAAAACAGAAAATAGTTCCTTGGGTGTTGTCTGTGCTCGCATCATTGCATTGGAGGACAGTAGGGAAGCCTCGTTTAGCCTTAGATTGTCTTCAATTGGCGTTGGACGAAGTTCCTGGAGAATTCAGGGATGTTCCTTTAGTTAGTATAGCTTCGATACACCAGAAAATGGGCTTGATTGATGACGCTTTGAGGATTACAAAAGAAGCCCTGCGTATCAATGCTGTGGAGGTGTGTATGAAACACGCGATTATAGTTATCGTATCGTAACAAAGTATTGTTACACTCGTATATTTATGCTATATACACTGCTCAAAAGAATTATGGCATAGATAATTTATTGTCGAAAATTAGCCAACTTTGTCTGGCGATTACTTCGCAAAAAATTATTGTAGACTAATGATTTTTGTTTCAAAATGAAGCTTGAAGTCTCTATTTTAAGAATGTATCTATTTTTTCTTGCAATATACACAATATTTTTCGCATGCGATACATCGCTATCTCTGTAACCTTTGACCGAAAAATATCGTTATTTTTGAAGGGCTTTAACTTTGCGAAAAAAGGTTGTAGCGATTCCATTCTTTTTTCAAATTGAAGGGGAAGATTTGAACTTTATGATGCAAACGGCGTCCCTGAAAAACAATTGTCCATGTGCGTGCATTCCGTCAAAATTTGCAATTTTCAATATACCAAACATGCCCTCAGATGTCAGGGGTTACAGAGGTAGCGGTGCATCGCATGCAAAAGATAGAGATACATTCTTAAAATAGAGACTTCAAGCTTCATTTTGAAAAAAAAATCATTAGTCTACAATAATATTTCGCGAAGTAATCGCCAGACAAAGTTGGCCAATTTTCGGCAATAAATTATCTATGCCATAATTCTTTTGAGCAGTGTATATTATAAGAAACTATTTTGTTTGCTACTACATACCGATAGAAAGAGTTCATTTTGTAATAATATATTTCAGCCAATGACTAATTTTTTATTTGGTATATTATTGAATGTAAAAGGAAATCACACGGGGGCAATGCATTACTTGAAACAAGCATTGAGAGTGGATTTACATCTGTATGACGATAAGGCATTAATGTTGTTGAAAACGTTAGCCTGTCGCGAAAAATTTAACGTTATCACCGGTGATCATTCAGGTATGTAAACCTTTTGTTTAATTTTACCACTAATTATATTATTATATATACATATATATTGATATTAGGTAAATATATAGAAAAGGGCACACCGCACCGATTTTTTTCATTTTGAAATATGTTATAAAGGATGAAAATTCTGAGTGACTTTTCCTAATACAATCATATGGGGGTCACTTATAGTTTCTGAGATATTTAACTTTAAAGTTTTATAATTGTACGTTGAAGTATATTTGAAGTAGACAAGCAGTTCTAATTTACTTTAAATATAGGAAACCGTACATATAAGCGGGAGAGGGACTTCGCCCCTCCCCCATATCCCCTCCCCCATATCCCCTCCCCAAACAAATCCTAATCTAACCTAACTTACTGCATCTTTATATATTTTTGGACATTGTTGAAAAAAGTTCTCTTAAGATCTATCACCTAGCTCAATTTAATATATTATAATATCTGCATGTAATTAGGTGTTGTGGCTTTTAAGGAGATCTTTTCAACATCGCCCAACAATATATAAAAATGCAATAAATTAGGTTAGGTTAGAATTTTTTGGGGAAGGAGTGCGGAGGAGGGGCGGAGCCGCTCTCCCGCTTATATGTATTGTTTCCTATATTTCTATGTATACACTATGTTTGGATTAACTATTTGGATTATACTATAAATAACGTCAGTTTATGATATTTGAAATTTAACATCAAAATTTCAAAATTTAAAAATTAAATATCTCAGAAACTATAAGCGACCCCCATATAGTTGTATCAGGAAAAGTCATTCAGAATTTCATTCTTTATAACATATTTCAAAATGAAAAACTCGGTGAGATATATCCCTTTCTGTATATTTACTTGATATTATATTTACTTGATATTATTTAGACATATTTCATGCACATTTCAGTTAATAAAAATGTTAGACCTTTTTTTCTTTCGTTTTTTTTTTAAAGATATTTTTTAAACATCTTGACGACGTATTTTAAATATTCATGTTGTCTTGATTGATATATTTTTATGCATAAAAAGTGTAGTAATGACGAATGTGCGATACATATTTTTGCATTGTTTTATGTTGAGTTTTCGTTATGTGTATTTATGCAGATTTTCATAAGATATATATAATCTATTCTCGTTGAATGACGTAGGAATTGAATCGTAGGAATTTTAAGATAAACGGAAAAATAAAGGATTAAGAGAAAATATGGGTTAGTATATTCTGTTTTGTTTAACATTACCCTTCTTTTATTTGCATGATCGCTGCCCAATCATGCTTCTGTCTTATGATGAAATTCGCACGAGAATTAAAGTCTTGATTTTCCTTTATTGTTGCGATTATCGTATGCGGCTGCATTTGTACAGAATTTATCGTGCTTTTATTTTCCTTTTTTCTTTCATTCTTTTTTTCAGTTAATTAGTTCTGTTCATGCTATTGATGACGCTGTGTTTTAAAAACGCAGGTAATTGTGATGTATAACGGAAGTCATATTGTCATAACCACGGGCTGTGAGAAATAAGGAATTAATTCACATAAACGTACCATGAGCCTATCAACTGTATTATTTACTAAGTACAATCTGTAAACGAACGACGCTCTTTTGCGCAAACGACAAGTCAAGAACTGTAACTACCGCATTAATTATACTTCGAGGCAGAAACCGGAGGGATCAGGTGCGTATCTTCGCACTGTGTCTTAAAACAGTAGACGTTTATTTTATATTTATATCTTACATTCGACGTAAATTTTGGGCTTTTTATTCGTTACGTTGCTATGCTTGACTAACGAGTGAATAGCACGTTTAGTATTTCCAGTTTAAAAGACAAATTTATGCATTTTACGTTGTAATTCTTATCTTGTTATTTGTCGCTTCTTTCCTTATATATAAAATAGTACATAATAAAAATTGTTTTTACTTACTTTGTGTCTGTTTTATTATTTTACCTGATTTAGTTATCGTATAACTCAGTTATAACTTTTTATTTTTATGCATCTCTTTTGTACATCTCTTTTGTGTTTTAATTACATTTAGTAACATTTAATTATTTTAAAATTCTTGAACGGGATATCTTTGTGAGGTAGAATTTATATATTTGAGCTTTTTTCTTTTTTAAGACATCTTGATACTTGAATTTTATCGTTATTACCACGAGCCTTCCACGAGCGATAGTGGAAGGATGTTATTGTAGAGATAAATTGTTGGAATAAGCGTAAAGTCGAGTTAACGGATGTCGCGTTACAACATGAGAGAAAACATCAAGATCTGATTTAATCATTGCTTCCCAATAGCGCTACTCAGCTGCACGAGCCATGTAGATGCCAGTAAAATTTTGGACAATGTAAGCGAGCAGCTTTTGCTAATCTTCTATAGTATGTAATTGATTTCATCGTAAAGGTAACACCGTCACGTTATTTGATTCGCAGGTTTTTCGTGCGAATTTACTAGCTAATTAATACTAGGTAGCTCGCATGAATAATTTACAAATTCATACAAGGGCACACCGCACAAAGTGTCTGATTGGACGTTCGACAAAATGTCTGACAATCAGAAAGAATTCTATTAGTCGAATAAGGACGAATGTGACAAGTTCAAGTACGAGGAGACCGATTACCTTTCTATTCATATTTTATAAGTTTATGTGATGAAACATGATGTATGTATGTAACCAGCAAATCACGACGAGAGAGATCATTCTGTCTGAAACAGAAATAGTGCAGAATTTTTTAGTCGACACTTAATTTTAGCCTCAAAGGATCGTTGGACAACAATATCTCGGCTTGATTTGCGACAAGAGTAATCCTGTGATGAGTCATGTGACTGAGATGGTGCAATTCTCGCACTTGCTGCGACATAAAGCCGAACTCGGTATGGAGTAGTAATTGATGATGATAACTGGAATGTAAACCAATACATTGTAAGAACTTGGGATCAAAATCATGTTCGTGTTGCGAAGGTAAAGTAAACATTTACTAATTGGATGTGTACTATGTACATTATAATAACAAATCTTTAATTTCGTAATTCGTGTATATAATCGTGCGTTTTTTAACAAAATTGTATCAACTAATACAACCTCGCGTTATTATAACTTGAAAGCTGTGTGATGTGTGATGAGTTTAATTAGTAAATAGAAGTTACTTTATATTAAATATGTATATCATTTTATAAGATATTTTTGTAAATAAATTATAATTGTTATATACCATAGAAAAGTCAATAGTCAAGAGTTAAGAATTTTGTTTGCGTAATAATCATATTTAGATGTTGGGTCGAAGAAATTTAGTAATTGAGATAAGGTTTTAGGTTTTAGGTTTTCCCGAGTTTTAAAAACATTTTAGGTTTCTGAGTACGGGTTAAGTTTATTTTTGTGTGTGATATACTTTAAAATTTAAATTAAAAATTAATTGAAATTAAATTTTAGTTTAAATTAAATAAAATTCAAATTTAAAGTGAAAACGTTTTATTTCTTTTTTCCATATATTAACAATTAATTTTGTATATTTCAGCATAAAAATACTAATATATTATCCTTAGCAATAAGCCTTAATAGAAAGCAATAATATTATCTCACAATTTCAATTAATTATATAGTTAAATCATTAAATATTATATATTTTATAAAAATTTTATATTTTTATAAAAATTTAAAAATTTTGTTTATATTGTTAAGTGTCTAGCTATTGACATATTTACTTTAATTCATCTGTTCGATTCTTACTTAATCTATTCTGCAATCCTAGTTTTCCATAATCGTTTTCGCGATTCTTCTTGATATCTTAATTAATTCATGACTTGCTCGATTTGCTTTAGCATTCCTTGGACCTTGGCGATAGTTGTGTCGTTTTATTGGTGCATAGCAGGCGATAATTGCAACACACTAGATTGCGTGTGATAAGGCCTAAAGAACATCCTGAAGGATACGCAAGACATACATTTCTTCTTCTCATACATTTCAGCATCTCGGCTCAACTCACTCAGAATTATTTCCACAAGACTCTCCAAAACACTTAAGTTGCGTTCTTCATCGGTCTAAACTTCATAGTAAATCGCTATATTCTCGTTAATCTACACGCTACTTTGATAAACCCAGAGTGAGTTTACATTAAATAACGCAATATATCTTTAAATTATAAGATTACATGTAGTGTAAATGATATATTAGGATGCCTATATCATATGGTAATTTCGAGATCGCAGCAAGATTCTATGTCTGCGAAATCTTTGCTCGAACTCGATCCCAACTTCAAACCGCCTATCAAGAGACTGCAGGTGATTTTTGTCTTATGATATAAAGTCCACCATGAGTGAGAAACATCTTATCGTGAAGCTATTTATCGCGAATATGATATCAAGGAATCTGATAGAATTATTAAAAGTCTTTTTATACTGTTGACGTACGTATAAATAACAAAGAGATATACACGTTATTGATAGAAAAGAGAAGAGACATTCAATTGCGACAATGGACAAAATCTGCTTAATACTGATATTTGTACATATGTACTATTTTTTATTTGTGGGGGGAATTTTATTCTTTTATTGCGAAATTCACAACTGATATTCGGAACAAATAAAAAATTATCACGCTTTTGTATTTATATAAAAATAAATTATTTGATAATTATCATTGATATTTATTCATAGGTATTGTGTTGGTTTCATGAATGTAATTATTTTTTCTTCTTTATCTAGTAATCATAAATGTGTTATTGGATGTGATAAACAAATTGAATAAAAAAAGATTTTCATGATTTTGTGTGATGTCCTTTTCTCATAACTTATATATTGGACGCGTTACATTCATAAAGACCCTAACATAAGGCCTTACTATGATAGTAATCTTAAATAGATATTATTATACATAATTATCTTATATGACAAATATTGAACAGATTAGTTATAAAGTCGATCCGATCAAACAAGAAGAGAAAGAAGAAGCTCTAAGATCTGTAGTGGATTTCAGCATTGTTTTCAGATAGACAAATTTCGGTATATTGTTTGCATAGAGACTGAATTTGAGAATTAAAAATAGTAGCATAAATATTAGGAGCGCAAAAAAGTTCTGAGCCCTAGATTTCATACTACTGAAACCACAATTTAAATTGCATTAATTTTTCCGCCCTCTTGCGGTTTTAAAGCAGTGACATTTGGTCTTTCGAAACATCGTGCGATTTGACGTTTGATGCACATAACCTTAAAATCAGCAGTGTTCACGATGGCAATAACAAAAGAGCGTAATCGATTTTCCATCCACTTCGCGTTTCATCTGAAGAAAAATGCTGCTGAAGCCACTGAAATGATCTGTGTTGCATATGGAGAGAACGCTGTAAGTTATGCTACGTGTAAAAGGTGGTATCAAAAATTTCGCCAAGGAGATTTCAGTCTTGAAGATGAACCGCGTGCTGGACGCCCTCAAAAGATTGAAACGGACGAACTGCAAGCATTGTTGGATATAAACTCTGCATAAACTGAAAAGGAGCTTGCAGAGCAACTTGACGTTACGCGACAAGCCATTTCCACACGTTTACATGCAATGGGAAAAGTTCAAAAGGAAGGCAGATGGGTTCCGCATGCATTGTCCGAAGACAACAAAAATCGACGGCGTGACACGGCACTCACTTTGCTTTCAAGGTTCCGGAAAAAGGATTTTCGGCATCAAATCATTGCAGGTGATGAAAAGTGGATACTTTATGATAATCCGAAGCGTAAAAAATCATGGGTTGACCCTGGTCAACTTTCGACATCGACGCCAAAGACCAATATCCACGCCAAGAAGGTTTTGCTTTGCATATGGTGGGATTGGAAAGGTGTATTGTATTACGAGTTGTTACAGCCGGGTGAAACAGTAACGGCAGATCGCTATCAGCAACAATTGAGCAATTTGAGCGATGCGTTTGAAGAAAAGAGGCCATTTACTGGCAAAGGACGTCGTAAAGTGATACTGTTTCATGACAATGCCCGACCACATGTTGCGAAAGTGACTCAGGACCATATCTTTGCGTTAGGCTGGGAACTTCTCCCGCACGCGGCGTATAGCCCAGACATGGCGCCTTCCGATTACTACCTATTCCGGTCTCTACAGCATTTCTTGGCTGATACACATTTTGTAACACTTGAAGAGATACGAAAATGCATTGATGACTTTATCGCCTCGAAGCCGGTGAGCTTCTACCATCAGGGAATTCGCAAGCTGCTCGAAAGATGGCAAAAGGTCATCGATGCAAACGGGGAATATTTCGTTGATTAATATAGTTTTGTTTGTTTTTAAATAAATTTTGAATTTTGCAAAAAAAGGCTCAGAACTTTTTTGCGCTCCTAATATTAGGTATAGTAAAAAGAAATCCATTATTTTTCCAATAAATGGCTTTAGTTATTTGTATCTCGCGTTGTATAAGTCCGATCGGGTTCCACTAGATCGCGTTAGAAAGATGAGATTTCGTACTAAAAAAACTTTTCTGACAGTTTTGTGATTAGTTGACTCAGTTTTGTTTGAGCGCGCGTCAAAGATGGACACTAGCAAAGAGAAGATACGCTATATTTTACAGTTTTTCTTCGATAAAGGCGAAAACGCAAGCCAGGCGGCTGAAAATGTGAATAGTGTTTATGATCCTGATACTGTAACAGCCAATCACGCGCAATTTTGGTTTCGTCGATTCCGTTCCGGTAATTTCGATGTCAAAGATGCACCACGCATTGGAAGGCCAATTGTCGAAGATATCGATAAAATCATGGACATTGTCGAGTCCGACCGTCATGTAAGCACTGTTTCGATTGCCCAAGAGCTAAAGATTGCACAAAAAGCCGTTTGGAACCATTTGAATAAGGCTGGATACAAAAAGAAGTTCGATGTATGGGTGCCACACGAGTTAACGAAAAAAAACCTCATGGACCGAATTTCCATCTGCGAATCGCTGCTGAATCGCAACAAAATCGACCCATTTCTGCAGCGGTTGGTCACTGGTGATGAAAAGTGGATCACTTACGACAACGTCAAGCGAAAACGGTCGTGGTCGAATCGCGGTGTGCCAGCGGAAACGGTGGCCAAGCCAGGATTGACGGCCAGGAAGGTTTTGCTGTGTGTTTGGTGGGATTGGCAGGGAATTATCTACTATGAGCTGCTCCCCTACGGCAAAACTCTCAACTCGGAACTGTACTGTCAACAATTGGACCGTCTGAAGGAAACAATGGCCCAGAAGCGGCCAGCTTTGGCCAATAGGAGAGGAATTGTGTTCCATCAGGACAACGCCAGGCCACACACATCGATAGTGACTCACCAGAAGCTTCAGGAGCTTGGTTGGGAGATTCTTATGCATCCACCTTATAGTACGGACTTGGCACCAAGTGATTACCATCTGTTCCTGTCCATGGCGAACAATTTTGCTGGTGCAAAATTCGCTTCAAGAGAGGCTTGTGAAAATCGACTGTCTCAATTTTTTGCCAATAGGGACGAGGGCTTCTATGAGAGAGGCATAATGAAATTACCCTCAAAATGGAAACAGGTTATCGAACAAAACGGTGCATATTTGACCTAAATAGGATCATTCTAACTATGGTAATTAAAGCCTTCAATTTCATGCAAAAATAATGGATTTCTTTTTACTACACCTAATATATAGAAATGCGTCCTCATACAAGAAGTATTGTAGCAGAATATAAAGAAGCAATCCCAGCAAACACAATATTACATATAACGTGCATGTTAGTTGTAATTTCCTATTCAACAATATAACTGTTATATAACGATGTGTTATACATTAACACATTGTTATATAACAGTTATATTGTTGAGTAGGAAATTACAACTAACATACACGTTACATGTAATATTGTGTTTGCTGGGACCTGATGCTATAAAACTCAGTAAACAAATTGACTGCAAATTGCGCGCAAAACAGCAAATTCGGTCAAAATTCCATATCAAAACTATAGCCATCTATGTTCGTATTCAACTCGTATTTTGGCGTCAAGGCCTGCTGCCTAACAGCAAGATCTGTTGCATATTTGGTGGCAACAAAATTTGATAACATAGATTCTATACCAAATTTGTTACCTATCTGGCATCAAAAATTGATAGCAAACTTTGCTCGAAATTTGCTCGCGCAGGTTTGGCTCTCTAGAAAATTGCGGCAACATACTATGTATTTTATCGGCAAGAGGATATAATTATCCAATAATATAACTAGCTGATACTTTACTCTAAAGTATAGAATAATAAATATATATTTCTTACAAACATATTACAAACATGTTATGCCGCTCCAGTGGTATAAAATACATAATATGTATGTAGAAAAGATATGTATGATATATGTATATATAATACATATATTATCCTTTCTCCGTTGATATTTCCGCTTCTACTGGGAGTAGAGAGTCAAATGTAGTCGAAAATGTAGGGTTTAGAGAGGACTTTATTTTGGTGCCAGAACCAGGCCTGTATCTCTAACCGTTTGGGAGATATCGAAGGTTAAAGTTTTACATATTATACATATACATATATACATATCTTATCATACATATATAAAGATATGTATGTAAAGAAAGATATGTAGAAAAAATACATTGAATACCTGTGTGCTATTATCAACATGTTTAACCCATGTTTACATTACAGATGTTTAACCCATATGCATCACAGCTCTAAATATACAACTAATTTTAAAAATCGGAGACGTTCAACCGACAGTCGGCCTGTATCACCATACATTAACGTCGCACATTATTAGCGATGAATAAACGTCGAGCGTATTATTTCGCTGTTGGTAATAAGTGAACGTCGTGGCTCGCGAAATATTCCGCAGCTGATGATAAGTGACAATCATTATGTGATTAATCCGGTTAAGGATGAAAATGGGTTAAGAAAATTCCACTGCAGTTACATATTAGGAAGCTATAATTTCCGGATATGTAGAATAACA